GCAAGGGGCGAGATGGCGCTTCGGTCCGTGGGGCATGGCTTTGCCAGTTGCATTTGCAGTACGGCAGCGGCAGGTCTGGAACGCCACCGGGAGGCTGCGTTCATCCCGTCGGACTCCAGATTTGTACATTAGGGTTCGCGATCGGAGGCCACCGAGCGCGCTTGGGGAGACAATGGTACGTCGACGGCTAGGTGCTTTAAATGCGCGGACGAAAAGCGGCACAAAGCTGGGCACAGGCGCTGCACCCCGCGCCGTCAATGCACTGCGCCGGTGGGGAGCTGTGGACAGCGCTGTCCTCAGAGTTTGGGCTATTTAGAGGAGCTGCTTCATGAGTTAGCGGAAGAGATTCCTCGAATGCGGCGAGGCAGTGACCTGGGAGGGACGGCAAATTGGGTGTTGAATGAGTATGTTGGGCGGCGCCCGCGTTGTGGGCACGAGCAAGCACCGGCGAGGGGTTTCGTGCAGAGATGTTTTCGAGGACATGTTCGCGGCAATGTAATTGGGGTGGGCGGGGCAAGCATGGCAGCCTCGCGGAGCCGTGCATCGGATTGTTAAATCAACAAACATTTCTGTCAATACTGTTCAGACAATGCTCTGAGCGCAGGCGTTGTATTGAGCCTGTGTTTTGAGTGCCTCCTTGAGGCCTGATGCTTGCCTTGCCACACTACAGTTACTGCAAATCAGCTGCGCGTAGTTATGTGCGGATGCACGGCAATCTGCAATTGCTAGCATAGCCATGCATGAACTACTTGGACCACCCGTCGGTCGCCAACAAACTAAACTACTCTGCTCGCCAGCTCGCCTCATGAATCGCCTTTTTCAAGGGAAGGAACGTAACCAAAAGAAGATACCGCCCTCTACCCAGGCTTGGACTTTGCGGCGCAAATACTGAGAGCTTATTCGCATTTACGGGCAGCAACTGTAGTTACGTTGTTACGCCTAAAAAGCACGTAAAAATACGTAAATTGGACGCGGTGTACATAAAAGACAGCACATGCAGGCTCAGAAAGTTAGGGGTGGGGGGGGGGGGGGGGGGGGGGGGGGGTAGACAGATGCGCTGGAGTGGACAGAAAATAACCATTTGTTCGATCGCGTCTTCGCCCTTGCATAGGGCGGGGTGGACGCTGTGTTTGCGGGTGCTCGAGGAGGCGGAGGACTGGTCATTATTTGCGACTTACCATGTCACCTTGGTGTCCCGACGCCGGGACACCAAAGTAACATGGTAAGTCGCAAACAATGATCCGTGAACATGCTCACGCGCAACTACACTTGCACCTAGGCGTGTGATAGAGCTAGCACAGACCTGGATATATTTCGGTTGGGTATAAACTTGGATTATTTCATGGAGGCTCAGCTCCGGAATTTCACAAGTGGTTAAAGCTGCAGGGCATTAACTTGCAAATTCAGCAAGGTCATGTTGTCGCATTGGCGGCGGCGCCCTCTGAAGGTTCCCAAAAGTTTCCCGAAAACTGTCCAAACAGTCCCTTCTCGAAGAGTCCACGAAGACCTTGCCCTATGGAAGTCCTGATCCTCAACAGTTGGCATGGATCTGCTCAATCAGCTCTGTACTGCAAAGCAATCGTTAAGTAGATTATGTACTTTGCACATGGTGGTTGATGTCACCATGGTTTCAAAATAAGAAAGCGAGATAACCCCGCTCACTGTTCAATCAAAACCCACGGACAATCTTTAGCAGCTCGCTCAGGGCAGTAATGCGGGGAAGACAGTATTTTAAATTTTGTACACTTGGCTTTAAATGGGGGGTAAACTCAACCCCTAGCGCCCCCCTTCTCCTTGTTGTCAATCGCTATTTTACAATTCTCGCAGTACCTAACGATATGCATTGCAAACGCATGACAACAGCACCATCATTGCTGTTCTGCTCCCTCCCCGCAGCGCTACAAGTGTTAGTTCAATGTGCAGTTGACTCACAACCACTCCGTCGTCAGTTCATGCCGGTTGCTCCTTGTGATTGCGAAAGCTATCTGCGGCAGTCGAGAACTGCGGCACACGCTACAGTCCCCGCCACTGCGGCCGATGTAATCACGTCCAAGCTCGCTTCACCCCGTGGATCCCAACGCCTTGGATGACTTGCATGCTCCACTGTGAACGTGCTTCCAGGCGTCCTGCGCGTTAAACAGTAACAAAACAGCTGTGTGCGGCCAGGAACACATGTATCTAGTGACGAAACTGCTCTCAAACGCCCACTGTCATTTACCGAACACGGAGATTTGCATGTATACACTCCATTGCATCACGCACGCGCCGGCATTGCATTCCTGCAATCTTTTAAGAGTTGCTTCAAGAATCTTGTATATACGCCTGTGCTGTTTCAAGAGTATTGTGTATCAGCAAATCTGCCATGTCGCATAAAGCGAACCACCTTTCTAAAACTTTGCGATTGATAAGCAAAGGTGCCCGTGGGCCGTGCAAATCGCCAGGAGCTGCTTAGGTTAATGTTCATAGTAGTCTAATCATAACTTCGGGTATGGGATGCTTCTGTTTGCAATTATTCCCTTAAAATATTATATACGGCTTCGCCATGAAGAACAACGGCTGCTTGTATCTGCCCTGGGCATCAGAGGACTGTGCCACATTTTTGGCTTATGTTTTCTGATTAATTTAGAGCGCTTTGGACCTCTCCTTGTCTTGTTTTCATTTTAGAGCAATTTTGTAATCTGTTAGCGTCCATGGCCTGGCCTCGTTCCCCGTTAGCGTCCGTTTGATGCTAAGATTACAAAGTCAAAATAATGCCTTGCCTTAGTTTTCCAAATAACCCTTTTCAAGTGTTGATTATTATCCATTTTTGTTGCTTACTTCAGTGTTGCATCTTAGTTTCTTAGCTGGTGAGCATTCCTTCTTTCATTCATGAAGCAAAAATAAGGTATTTTATGCACTGGATTGAAGCAATAAAGCATGTATGCTAATTGGATCTATCTAGATCCATTCAGCTTGCTTGCTCGATGGAAATTGGGTTCTATAGAAGTGGCGTGCTCTACGAACGCATGCTGGAATTGCACCCGTCAGCCACTACGCAGCACATTTGCTGGCATCCAAGATTGTCTTGCGACTTGGTGCAAGCGGAGCCCACTTAGAGTGTTTTTTGCCGAGCAAATTTTTGAGGATCTGGGACAATACTGATTGGCCATGCGCTTCCCCATTCCCCTTTTGCAAAGAAAATGTTGACCATGTTTGCTCTCGTAATTGCAGTCAGGAAATGGGTTTGTGGGCCATGTATAAAACTTGTTAACTGGTACCAGATTAAACATTTAAACGACCCAATTGTATAGTACGTATATTACTATGAGTGGTTCGATGATATTACCATTTCTGGGCTTTCAAATTTCTATAACACAGCTTTGGTAATGGGTGTGATCTCTGTCGTGGTTCGTGCAGCCTAAATTCCCGAACCCAGACAACTAGAGGATCCACACCTCCAGAAGGATAGATAGATCTGAGACCTCGCAACGCCTCAAGTCACTTCGATCACGCAACTCGAGTCCGGCGCTGCTGGCTCGCCAGTTGACCACCAACAAGTCAAACTGTTCCCGACACAAACAACTGATACGAAGATGGAGATGGTGGAGAAAACCAGACATGGTCTTTGCGTCTGTGGCACCAACCTTGCCTTGCGGTTTTACACAAGAAAATGCACAAAAATATAAACGGCTATTCTTGCGGCCATATTTACGCATATTATGGCGTGTTGAGACGCCCAGATTACATGATGAAGTCGCAAACAATGGTCAGTCTGTCGCCTAACGGTTCCAACGTGTCAATCGAATTCAGCAATACACATACGACATACGTTTGTGTGCGATAGACGTACGTGTACACACATCCCAAGGAATTGTATCGCTGGTGCGTCGGATGCGCCAAAGGGCAGCATGCGACCAGTAGCGAATTCTGACTTGGGCTTTGATGTTGACATGGCTTCACTATACCCTCGAGCACCCGCAACACAGCGTCCACCTCGCCATCGGCACGGGTAACGATGTTGTCGCACAAAAGGTTGCGCTTTAGCCATTCCAACGCGTCTGGATGCCACTCGCCAGTCTCCCTGAGCCTACATATACTGCCTTTATGTACACAGGGCTTGTAATTATGTATTTTTACGTGTTTTTATGCGTTAAACCTGGAAAACTACGTTTTAAGCGTGGTACGCGTAAACACACGGTGTTTACGCCGTAAAGGCCAAGCATGACGGATACGGGTCAGGATTGGGCGCTCGGGCAATAAGGGTCAGGGTATGTGTACATAGGGTCTCCGTCTCCGTATCAGTGATCTGTATCGGGAACACCTTGGGTGCACATGAATTTGATGCAACCAAGATTTTGTTTTTGTCTCAGTCCAGTGACGCCACTGTAGCTGAACTTGTCAGGATGGTGTGCTGACCTTGATGTTTGACGTGCTTGGAATCTCCCCTTTTCTGCCTGACGGGATCCACAGATTTTGGACAGCCTCAAAAAAGGGACTGGGGTTATTGTGGCTGCACGGCTGGTTGCGGAAGCGCTTGCCAGATGGATTGTTGCCGGGGTGCGTTTTGACGACTTTCCCATGCATGTCCTATCTACGGTCCAAATCCGTAGCCTAACGCCGGCGCCCAACTAGTCTCCCTGTCTTTTCTGTGATTCTCGCCCAGCGCCTGGCCCGTCTCAGAGCACCGTCCAGCGAGGCAGCAAGTCACACAACACCAAGTCGATTTAGAAAACATATTAGGCCCTCTGTCCTTTCCGTGAAGATCCTTCTTCTTCCGCTGTCAAGGCCGACGGCGGTCAGCGGTTTAGGGTGTCCGAAACAAGAAGGGATCTGAACGGAAGAGACAAGGGGACTAATTTCATGCCGTCGATTTCGCGAGGACAACGGGGTTTTAATGGTCGCCACAGCGCCGAATTGATTGCACACGCACCCCCAGGCACAGAAAATCTGAGGCCCCCCAACCGCCCGGCCACCCACCGCCCTCCCCCGACCCGCCGCAGCCGACCGCAATGCGTCCGGCCATGGGGACGGCGGCGCGCCGCGCCGTCTCAACTCCACTCGCGGCGTCGTGCCGATCTGCCGGGCACCGCCCCTGCGTCCCATCGGCGCCGCGGGGCCTGCCGGGCCGCGGGCTCGGCGGATCGCGACGGCCGTCGGCCGTCGGCCATCCGAATCCTTCGCGCGGGTGAGTTCGCGCGGCGCGGGCGCGATCCGCGGAAAGGCGCGAAGGGTGGGGATTTGCTGTGGAGCCGCCGATGGGGATGCGGAACGGGGATGGGCCATTGCGGCTCGCGCGGTGGACGTTGTGTGCTTGCCCGGGGCGCGTCATGCTTTCATTTTCGCCGAATTGCCTTGTTTAGGTTCGTTTTCGAAGGGCCAAGCGGGTGCATTGCGTTGTATTTTCGCGGTTGGGCCTTTGGCGATAATCGCCGGCCCTGGGTGATCGATCGCTTGTGCCCGGGGAGGGCTGGGGCATCGCCTGGGTACGCTCGCAAATCCCATTTCCTGGAGATTGCTGTCTTTTGGGGTGTCCCTGTTTTTGAAGGAGAGCATGTCATACGCAAGGGCGCCCTCTAATGCGAGAACGTGTGAAACTTTCGGGGGGGACTCGGAAGGGGAGGGAAGCATCCATTCGATTTCAATTGCCCTGAATTGGCAGAGCGCATCGCCCATTCACCTGCGCCCAAGGCGAAGCACAACGCCTTGTTTCGGTGCGTGTGAATGAGAAATGCGGTGGCTGCTTGTCCAAGGCAGTCCTGAAAACGCACATTAGCGGTGTCGAAAAGTGCGTGGAGACGATTGTGCGGGAAACTGTTTGGATCCAAAAGCAGACGTCAGCATTCCAAGCCCCTCCAGTTCGAGCCCATTTCTTGTGGAATATCACCAACCCACATTGCAGTTGCCAGCAGACATTGCAGTTGCCAGCAGACATTGGGATCATGTTTATTCTGTTGTTTTCTCCTCTTAGTTGCCACTACCTGATTGCGATTGTGCCAGTGGCGAACAAGATGTTCAAGACATTGCCTCCCCATGCTTCCTACATCTGGTTGGAATCCTATTGCACAGTAACCAAATGGAGTGTCCAGGACTGCTCAGATTTTTGAGGGCACATTCAATGTCTTCTATGAATGGATGGTGGTAATGCCAATAAGAATATGTTAGTACGATTGGTGAGTATAGTATGTGTACTGATGCAACACATACAATGAGTGTATTAGAGTGTATGGTGAGTGTCAAGTGAGTGTACAGTTAGGATGCATGATTCCACAAGGCCAAAGAAATTGCACAAGTGCTTGTGATAGATGAAAGAAGCACTTGCAATTCAAGAAACATGAAGAGAGTAACGAGCACAAAGAAGAGCATATCTTCAATAGAATATGAGAAATTTGTGAAAGACCACATGTTCTGAGTGTCCTGGATTGCGCAACTGTTCGACCTCAAATTGCTCTGGCTTATCCTTGTTGACACGTCTGGAACTGTCGATTACCCCCACCATGGGTACATTTGAGCTGTGTGCTGCAATTTTCACTCCAAACTCAACAGTGCACCCCATTTTCCAAGGCAATGTTGTGCCCACTTCCCGTTTGTTAGCGGCATTTGGCCTCAAACAACAATGAAACCAGATTAATTATATCCTGCGGCTCTTGCCAAATGGACAAGCCCGCACGAAATACGCTTGCAGCAGAATGGATTGGCTGTGTAGCGTGTAGCGAAGCACCAGCAATGATCCCCTGACCTCCTGTGCATTTCCTGAACCCATAGGTAAAATGTGTCAATATTACTAATAATCTCTTGATGATGTCATGGTCATATCTGTCCATGATGAAGGACAAGGGTCCCAAAACAACATCTTTGGAATGCGATTGTGCCAACGCGAAACGTCCCAAGGACGATCTCTGGAGGCTGGCATCTGGAAGCCAAACTTCAAAAATGAGAGCCTTTCTGAACTGCTGTGTTCATTTTCCGTCCACACCTCGACCCACTCGAATCATGGTACACTGGGAATGCCTTGACTGGAAGTTTCCATGTGGTGGCCGCCAGTTCCATCCACGCCTCTCCCAGCACGAGGCTACCTGCCACCTCTCAAGACCAATTCATCGAGGTCGATGAGGGTTTCAGCCTGGCAAAGATCTCCTTCGGATCAGTGCTCTGGCCCATCGGCGTGGGCCTCCTTGTGTACGGCTTTGGCTCCTTCTTCAGCTTCCTGCCGGGGGCCGACATCTCGTCGCTGATCCTGATCTATGGCTTCCCGCTGATGCTTCTGGGGTTTGCCTTCAAGTACGCAGAGTTGAAGCCTGTGGAGTGCAAGACGACGGCCGCTGCACTGAAGCTGCGGGACAGTCAGATGACGGATATACAGAAACAGGTGCGGGAGGACGTCACGCGTTACAGGTGAGAGTTCTGTGGTTGTGGTGGTGGAGAGTGCGTTGCACTGCCTTTGTGCTTAAATCCTTGTTTTCTCTTACACTTTCCTGCTCATTGTTTTGGGCTCGGGGCACACCAAGCACTGAAAAGACAGAGGGGAAATTGGGTGCTGGGTCGGGGGGGTGGGGGGGAAAGGAAGATTGCGCAAATCTGTGCCGACGTCACTACTGTAATGTGTCGTTTCAGATGTTGGGCGGGGCGCTTCGTGGGGATCGCAGCTTGTTCTCCAAACCCACAGTTATGAACATCCACCAGGCAGAGCCTCGGCCAGCGAAGTCTGTGTTGATGGCCGTGTCAGCTGTCGTTGCACCTCCAATGCGTTGGCTGGAATCGTGCAGCCATGCTGTACCGCTAGCAGCAATTTATGTAGTCTGAGCGCGTTCGTCGCATCCAAGATGGGTACTGCCCTTGCGCTTGCATGTCGATGATGGGCATTTTGGGCACCCACAGGCGTTGTGTCCCTAGAATTCGATCGAATAGCTTACACAAGTTCCGGCACTGTTTGCGTTTACCTTGGCAAGCACTTGGTGTTGAGCAGCTGCTGGTGTGTACCTGTAACTAGGTGCAAGTAGGGCTAGTAGCTGCCAGTTGCTTCAGGTAACCTGCGGCTTAGAAAGTGACTGACATTGCTGCTTGGAGTTGTGCCGAGCAGAGCACAACATGGGTGTCATGCCATGGGTGTCTACTGAAACTTGGCTCAGAGTCTAAATGAGAAATAAAGGGAAGAAGCTACCAGACATGCGTCCACAAGAAAAGCTATATATCCCCTTTGGCCCTTTGTGACGACCAGCAGAAACTCCATATTGGGCGTGCGCGTTTGCAAGGTGGCAAAGGCTCACAGGCCTTTCTGTGAGGGTTGGTGCGGCGCCCGAGGAGTCCAGCCAAGAATGTGACAGGTGCAATGGGCTGTGCGCCCATCTTGGGGCGCGCCAGCAACTGTGACACGTTATTTGGAATGGAGCAGAAACAAAGCAAGCACAATACACCAAAACAATGCATAAAGCTCGATGCCGAATTTGGAACCCAAAATGTCATCGGTTTGCCTGTGTCGCAGGTACGGAGATGAGGTCCACCTGGGCGAGTCCCTGGACCGCATCTTCAGGATCGGCCAGGCAGGCGGCATCCCCCGCGGCGCCTGCCCCAAGCTCACCGGCCTGCGGGAGCAGGCAGTGGACGGCCAGTACACCCTGGTGCTGGAGTTCGTGTCTGAGCTGGGCGAGGAGGCGTGGACGAGCCGGGAGGACAAGTTCCAATCGTTCTTCGGGCCGGGCATCACCGCGTCGGTGGACTTCCGGGAGGGTGGCCGCGCTGAGGTGGCCCTGAGGTGCGACGGCTCGGGCCAGGGCCGCGGCGGGGGGCAGAAGAAGGACGTCATGCCGCCGCTCATGCCGGGGCTGCAGCCGCGGGAGGAGAAGTAGGGCGTTGGGCCGACCGGGCCCAGGAACTTTTGGGTCCGGCCGCTGCATGTCCCCGCCCCTGGGGCCCAGGGTGTCCTGGCTTGGGCCCAAAGGACCAGGTGGACGGACGGGAGTTTTGCCGGTGGCGGAGGCGAGGGCGCGGCTGGGCACCCGCGGCGTCAATTTTGGCTGGAGGCGTCTGGGAAGCTGCCCCGCGCCTTGGCCTCATTTCTGGGATTTGCCAGCCGGAGGGTGGCTGGCGCTGTGGGCCGTGGAGGGCAGATGCGCGCACGAGGGTGGAGTGGAGGGCAGAGCCCCGCGAAGAACCTGTTGCGTGGCGTGTGTGCGTCGAACGGCCTCAGTCGAGATTTTGGGTTCCTGCTGTGAAGCATTGTCGAGTGGAACAGACTCGAGAATTCAGACTGAAGTCTAAACCGGGCTTTGCCCTGCATATCTAGCCTGCTAACCTAACGGCCAGCCTGTTGCTTCAAGGTAATTGTGAAGTAGGTGGCCTTGTGCTTTTTAAGCTTGGAAACGAAAGCGGTAGTTAAGAAGCTGATTACACTGACTTCCACTTGACGTCATACTGCCACCCACCGGCAAATCAACGCAATTTCATTAAACGGAGCAGAGTGGCCTTTTGGAACACTGGTTAAAGTGGCTTTAAAAAGGGATCGTGTTGCAGCAATATTGTCCGCTCTAAACACGTTTTCACACTTCATGACGCTCATGCTGATAAACAGAATTGAGTATTCGGTTGACGTACAGAACTAAAACAACACCCACCGTGCTGACAACCTGAATACACAAGTAATGCTGCGACTGATCGTGCCACCTGTTCGCGACAATTCAGAATCCTACTATATGGATCACATGAGCACCTCGCTTTACCCTACGCCTTTAATCAGGTGTGGTGGGCGGCCGATCGCAATGAACGGGAAACCAAATGACCAGCATGTTGGTTGCAAGGCTCCACCATTAGTCCCACGCAACACCGGTTAAGCGCTTCGACTAGGTGGCAGAAGCAGAGGAAAGGGACCAACCACGAGCGCTCAAGGTGGTTGGGGGCATCTCGCAAAGCGCAAAGACGAAGTTCGAGATGGCCGAGCTCAGCAAACTCGCGTCACGTCACATGCCAAAGGTGCCATGATGCTGGACACAAGACAGGACTTAGCGCCCACGCCGAGCACAGCCCACACCCGTCCTTAAATCGGCCATCGATTACAAGCACAAGCAGAGGTCAAATTCGGGGCATTGACGTCCATGCTCAGGACGGGTCGGGCGCTATGGCTTCTGATTCAGAAGCTGCCGCTCAGCGGCTCCTACAGCAATGTGTGAGTTTTCTCCATCCTTCGGAATTTCGACAAACCTGCGTTCGTTTCCTCTCGCTCTTTTCAGTCGTTGGCTAAAGCAATTCTTGCCCGTCCCGCTGGCGCCCGCCACCAGGGGCGTCGCGGCCCTCGCAGGAGGGCACAGCACCGGCGACGGCTGACTAACACAATTGTCACACCTCCTGCAAGTGTGATTGCGCCCTGCGCACCAACCCTACGAACTACGGCACTACGGCGCAAACTCTAATGCATTACACAGCTACGACCCCCAAAAGCCCAGGAGCGCGGGCTGGGGGGCTGGCTGGGGCGCAGGACAGCAGCAAGACAGCAGCACAGCGGCACGCCCCAGGCCAGGCGGCGCGCTTATCTGCGGCCCGACTGGCCCGCGGGCCAGCGGCGCGACTACCTCGACGCCACGTCAATGGTGGTACTATATCAATGCCCCGCACCGTCCGGCAAACAACCACAACCCACGGGCAGAGCTCGGCGCCGCGTTGGATGCCAAGGCTCTCCGAGCCGCCGGCAATCCTGCCCGCCCGGGCACGTCTGGCGCCATCGAACCACGACTACCCTGGCGCCCAGCACGCGCCAACCCGTGGCCCGCTAACCCGTGGCCGGCCAGAGGTCCAGGAGCGCGCATGCGAACCAATTCGCGCCGTCCGGCGCCATCACCGGCCCATCACGGCCTGACACCAAACACCATTGATGAACCACTGCGGTCCGGGCACCAGACGTCTCTGAGCCGTCACTGAACCATCACGGCCCTGACGTTCAGGCGGCACTTCATCCTAGGCCATCCCAGCTCCTCCGACAGCAGCGTGACGCCCACGCGCTCCATGCCCGCGCCCCACCCCCCACCCTCCCCGCTCACCACCGCCAGCCGCCGCCCCCGCTTCACCATCCTCAGCACAGACCCCACCAGCCTCGCCCATGCCTCCTCGCCGGCGACCAGTTTGTCCACAGTGACCAGGGGCACGTCCGCCCTGCACGCCACGCCACGCACCACGGCCAGCTCTTCTGGCCCCCCGCCGGAGTTAATGTACAGGATGTGGGACACCCGCTTTTGCAGGAGCGTCCAGGGGTCTTCCAGAGCCCGCCGGGAGCACAGCAGGACGGTCTCTGTCAGGGGAACGAAGGTGAAGGCATTGCGAGAGCCCCGCCGGCATGTGGCCAAGGTAGCGGAAGTCGTGCTGCCTGAGGCGGGGGTGGGGGGTGAGGGGGAGGGGGGTAGGGATCGGGGGGCGTGCCTGGCGGGGGCGGAGGGGGGCGCGTGACCGGCGAGCATGTTCTGGACCCAGGCGATGACGGCGACCAGGGGGGGCCGCAGGCGGGGGTCGCGGATGAGCACGAAGCTGAGGAGGGTGGCCACGATGCGCTGGGAGGTGCGAGGGAGCATCCTGTGGAAAACGAGCGGATGGTCAGGAGAGGAGAGTTATGGAACTGGAGTGGGGGTAAGCCTTCTGAAGCGGGAATGGTGGGGGCGGCTGTCTTATTGCCTTGAAGCATGATGCGCTTGATGGATGCATTGACTTGATCGACTAAGGGAGTGTTGCTGCACAATTCAGATCCAGTTCAAATCAAATGAATAATCAATCAATCTAATGAATCCAATTCAATTAATCAATTTTGAAATGTCCTTAAAGGCCAATTCCACAACTGAATTATAGTTGTGTATAGTAGCACTTATGTGGGGTGGGGCAAGTCTATCAGTTTGGCAATCACATATAAAGACTTACAAGCATTGGATGTGAACTTGGCAATATCTGGCGGTGAGCCTCCATGCCATGAAGTTGGATGCCACAGGAACACCAGCAGCAGGCAATGAACAATCCACAGCCCACTCACCCAAGTTTCTCTGTTGGAATCAGCGGCATCGAGCTGTCTGTGATGCGCACAAAAAATTCGCCCCAGTCGGAGTCATCGAACAGCGGCTTTCCTGACTGGAGCTCAAACAGCAGGCACCCCAGAGCCCAGACGTCGGATGGGAACGTGGGGGGCGCCACACTCTCGCCGCCGTGGGTGCCCTTGCCCACAAGAAGCATCTCTGGGCTCTTCATCCATTCTGTGCCCCTGCATGAAAATGAAAATAGAAAGACGAATTACAAAACGTATACAAGCAAATTAACAATACAAAAGAACTGCTGGCAAAACAATCATCTGCCAAATTGCAAGGTGGTTCTTAGAAGCCATCTATTGGTCCCATGTGCCATCACATAGTCGCTGAAACAGATGAGACCATGAATCCAATAGGCGCATCAATCTGATCAGCAAGCGTTTCGACCCTTGTCCTTGGTGTCCAGTTGAAGAAGCGCCTGAAGGTGCAGCAAAGCAAGCATGGAACAGGTGCCAGCATGTACCATGCTGTCCACTTCACAATTCTGCATGCCTTTGCATATATCCACCCATTGCACACGTGTGTATGCATGTTACATCCACCCCGCGGTGCTCTCAACATTTTAATCTCCAGTTTCCTCCATCCAAAAGTACCTGTCTTACTATCAGAACCACTGTGTTGTCGCACGTGATGTCAAAAGTTCACACCATGTTAGCAGGCGATGACTCACAGTTGGAATTGACAATGTGCCTTATCATGCCAAGCCTGAGCGTCCTCAGGGCAGCCCAAAACTAAAGAAAGCTGCTGCCTTGGCCCCACCTGCTCCTCAGCGTCGTTTCATGGTCGTCTCCTATCCGCATCGCCTCGCCAAAGTCGCCCAGCACCACCCTGAAAGCGGGGTCGTCCATCTGGGGTGACCAGAACCTGTCTTCACTCAGCCCAGGCAGTGCCTCCAGGAACACATTGCTGCACTTGAGGTCGAAGTGCGCCACGCCGGACTGATGCACCTTCTGCACGGCCTCGGCCACGTGCAGGAAGATCTTCAGACACAGCTTGGGGGGAGGCGGGCTTGACATGCGCCTCCTCCAAGTCTGTCCACAGCATACAGCCTGTCAGATCCTTATGTCCTCATGGTTCTGCCAGCATGATGCAGCACATCACAACTTCTTGTAGCACACTGCAGCTTTCTACAAGACGATGAACTTGACCTTTCCAGGTGTCTGGGCTTGCTGAATCCGACTGAATGACTCTGTTTGGTGGGCTTGCACAGACACATATACATCACCAGCCATGAGGACAATAGTACAACTATTGAGATTTCCTAACTCGACACATCAGCGCCTTGAAAGTGCACAGGAAAACTTTTGTCGAGTCCACAACTGAGCTTGAGGCAATCTGCACAGAGCTCACCAACACCATGCACTGCCAGCTACCATTGCAAACGCCCACACAGTGCCAACTCCAACAGTGCATGATCTCAATGGCATTTGCACGTCATTTGCTGTGTGGTCTCCAGCGACTTCCCTGATGCACAAGCAGGTGGACAACAATACAGCCAAACTGAGGGGTCAAGAGCCTGCACAGGAAATTGGTAGATATGAAGGGCTGCTGACCACAGAAATTCACCACTATCGAGCTCAACTCATGGCCCATGGCTATGCATCACCTAAATCCAATGGATTGATTGCCTGCATGGCTCCTCCCTCATCCCTTCAGCTTCTATTGACAGCAACTCCAATCTGCCATTAACTCCAAGCATGCCACACACATTCATCAACAAATCTGACAAGGGAAGCCTTGCCCTTTCAAATTGTGCACCTGGCTCTTGCTAGGTTGGGGCAAACACAGGTGGGACTGGCATGCATCCTGCCACCTGTGCCCGGTACATTCCCGTTGCTTCCGGCCCTGGATAAGCTGCAACTTCATATTCCTTGACGATTCCAAAACTCACCAAAAGGTCGCACTTGTACTCTTTCATCACCACAAAAACGGTATCCTCCACAACGCCATAGTCATACAGCTCGCTGACACACGGGTGCTCAGACAGGCACTCCAGCACTTCAATCTCTCTGTAAATGTCACGAAGGCTGCGCATGGCCTGGGCATCCTCAGGGACGTCCACCACCTTCACTGCGCACGTCGCAGGGCCACCTGTGGCCACATGCGCTTTCAAAACCTTACATTTTGTGTTGCTTGTGCAAGATTGTGGGTCGCTTTTGAAACTCAACACAGCAGTCTGCAAGAGACTTTAGACGCATCTCAATGTGCTAGGGGATGAAATAACTTTGGTCCATTCTGGCCACGTTCTAAGAGGGCGCCCACACAAAGCATATCAAAGTCCGCATCCAAATGAGTGATTTTGGCAGAACGTGTGCTGAACAGAAATAGTTTGTGTGCTGTAACCCATGGAATGGAGGAATGTGAGCTAGAAATGCTGCTCATTGTCATACCCTGCCAAAACGACTGAAATCTGCACAACCTCCCAGAGTTCACAAAAATTTGACTAAATACCTCATTGCTCAACTTCATGGGTGCGGAAATGTGTCCAAAATCATTTCAGCAGAGCATTGCACGTGTCAACTGGATGCCACAGCAGCATGACGACGTGCTTTGCGCGCATGGGGTCTCACCTTCCAGAGGCTGACTGCATCTGTGGACCTGAGCAAATTGGCCACGGCCAATGCGGCCCAGGCTCTCATAAGATCTCTCATCGAAGAGTTCTTTCATAACCAGCCTGAGCATTTCGCAACAAAGGGTCAAATAAAGGCTACCTCTGTAATACAATTACGTCAAACGTTGATGAAGCACATCAAGTGCACATTCTAGACAATGCTGGGCAACATTTCATCCACAGCATTCGCTTGAGAGTGTCTGTTAGTTCTCCTCGCTGATAAGCAAAGGCCCACAGCAAAACAGAGTTAAAATACCTAACCAAAAATGTGTACAAAATTCGACTATGCGCATGATCCTCACACACTGCCCATTTTGAGGCTGTCCATTCTTGCAGCTGTGGTCCAACAGTTTACAAATCGAGCACTGATGCAGACATCATGGCACATATCATGGCTTGACAAGTTAACCAAGACAGCCTGGCCCCTGCCTTGTCCTGAGTCAGGCCAGATCGTCAGCACTACAATCGACCAAACATTCAATGCACCAAAACAGCAAACACAAAAATTGCACAAGACACTGTCATGACAACCAGCCCTTTGACTTTGTTGTGTGCCCCGAAGCACTGGTCTCAGTACCGACAAGGTCAAGGGCCCGGCCGGACTGCCTGTGTCCACAGAACACTGGACAGAACTTGGCACATCTCAAAATCTAACACAGTGCCCGAATTGGATTGAACAACTGGGATTCATGCATCAAAACTGCAACCATGTTGAAACAGACACAGGCCGGAATGCCCCAACCTTGCCATGGGCATCAACTTTCATCACCAAAACTGCACCTGACTAATCTGATGTGGCTTGGCCCCCGCAGCACCGCCCAGTCTCTGAGCTCCAGCAGCAGCCCCTTGTTGTGCAGTTTGTTTAGGTGCTGGTGCAGCGCCACGCACAGCCGCCTCACCAACACCGACTCCCCACCATGCCTCCTGCCCACAGTCTCAAATTCGAGCAGCACTAACTCCAGCAGTACTCGCAGCACGCCAGCATGCAAGTCTTTGTGCTTCCATATGATCTTGCCCTTTTGGCTGCCACTGGGCCCAGGTCCAGGTCCGGGGGCTTTCACGTGGTGCACCACCTCCTGGGACCTGCAGACAACGTCAAGAGCCACCGGGGGCACCACGGGCCGCTTCTTCTTCTCCAGATGGCCTGTCCCACCAGGGTTTGGTGCACTTGAAGTGCTCGCGACTTCGCTGTATTCTGTCAGGTCGTACTCCGAAGACGTCTGCTCGCTCCGCGGCTCCCACTCCTCCCAACGTCGAGCGTCCTCCGAGCAGTCCCCGGTGAACTCAAAGTTGCTGGGCGGCCGGCCTGACGTCAGCCCATCGAACTTGTCCCAGTCCACCATCTGCCGGCACTCCGGGATGGGCATCAGGGCGAGTGGCGGGGCGTCGCTCTCCAGCTGGGACACAGGCCGCAGGGGGCTGTCCCCAACCTGCTGCCCAGGCCCACATGGCCCATCCATAGGCTGGGGGACCAGTGCCAATTCCCTGTCCTCGCTGCCGCTCTCCGAGGCCCCCTCCGCGACACGCTCTGCAGCGGCACTCGCGCAGGCCAAAGCCGCATTCCTTGCCACAGGATCATCCTCCTCTAGGATCGTGCTCTCATAGTCGTCCTCACTCAGGGGCGTGTAGTAGCCGTCGCTGCCATTTGCCACGTTGCTGAGATCCAGCTTTGGCACCCCGGGGGGCCGGGGGGCCTCCATGCAGCGCCCCTCGAACTCCACGCTATCGAGGGACATCACACTGCTGGTGGTGGTCGTGGTGGGGCGGGAGTACACCCAACCCGACCCGCTCGGGCTGCAGCTCCTTGGGGCCACCCCCCCCAGCGCCGGTGACGCCCAGGACGCCTCGCTGCACTCATCTCCACGCATGGATGCCTCCTCCTCAGAGGTTGACGACAGCTCCTCGACTTCGAACACAGGGTGGCTGGACAGGGGCCTCCCACTGTCACAAGACGTGCTCGCTACGCCACCACGCAGGCCACGGCCATTCCCTTTTGGCAAGAAGGGCAGGCAACCATCCTTGAGGCACACAGTGGGCGCATCATCACTGCCCTGCGGCACGATCTCCTGGACCAGGTGCTCCCCCATCCTCAGGTGCATCGCATACAGGTACACGGCCTCAAGCTGCATGGCGAGGATGGACTGGATCACAGCCAGGGAGGCGGCGCAGACACGGCACTGTGTGCACCGGAAGTCGCCTGCGCTGGAGGCAGAGTGGCCCTGGAAGGCACGGAAGTTGAGCTCCAGTTCCTGGGTGATGAGGTCGGGTGCCTCGGTAATAAGGCTGTTGGGTATACTGAAGAAAGCCTCCAGAAAGGCAAGCACCTGACCAGTGAGACACAGGGTTTTCTGAGGCTACAGCGCTACCCTTCCTCCACTGGGGCACCCACTCAACCAACATTCAGCCCCGAAAGAGCTTATCAACAATCAAATAGAATGATCCAGATACAAAGGAGTATACAGAAACCTCCAGTGGCTTGATTGTATTTTCTGCACAGCAACACAACTTGCCTGGACGCACAGGTCGTCGCGGAACTCATCTTCATCAACCCAGTGCACCATGCCCAGAATCCTCACCACCAACCCACTCTCTGGCTCAAGAGGGAATGCCAGCTGTCCAGACAGTGTGTTCACCACAGAGTCTGCAGATTTCACAACAGAAAATTGACGTTCACACAATGGTTCAGCATATAATGGTCAAAAGCCACAACATCTGCATCCAAAGCTGTGTCCCCACTAAATGCATGGCTGCAACCATTGCAACAGAGTGAAAATTACACACACTGCACTTTTTAAACATGTTTCTGCTGAGCATGGACCATCAGACTGCATCTATGTTTTTAGCAGTCCACAAGGAACCTGAAATGCTTGGAAAGAAGAGCATGCCAATAAGTACCCAGAAAGCGATCATCCCTCTGACACCAGCATATAATCGCCCACCAATGTTTATATAATCGCTGGTCCTTGATATTGTTTACCGTAGGGGTCACTACATAGTACCCCCCCCTAGCAACAGCACCTCCTTTTTGGCTTGTCACCATTTCTGCAGCACTTTATGCAGCTTCGCTGCACAGTGGGACCTCAAACTAGTATTGTGGACACCTAAGAGAGGTGTCCGGTGGACAGACGCCGTGGCGGCCGACCGTTTCTGCGAGCTTGGCATCGCAGTTCGCGCAGTTCGTGTGTATTGCTAAAAACAGACGGCATGTCTGGTGCTGGGCTGTTGACTGGCGTTGACCCTGGAATGGGCCCTCGCAGCAATGCACAGGATCGTCTTAACCGGCATGTGTGGGTGGTGCAAGGTGCGCAAGGTGGTATGTTGCGGCGTCACCCCATGGTGGGGGCGAGGGCGGCGGCCCACAATTTGCTCGGATGGTGGCTGCTGCGCCTCAACTGTTGCGTTAACACAGGGGGAATGCTTGATAACGCAGGGGTACTCTATCCATAACGCCCCCCGCGATATTCGCAGAAATGCTAAACGCGGGGGGCCTTTATCCCCCGTTCTCTATGGCATGATGCGCCCATGCCTGGTTGGACACAATGCGCATTCATAATGCAGGCAATGCCGTGCACGTCCATGTTCTGAGTTGTGACAGGCACTGTGCAACATCAATGCAAGCCCCAAACACGGTGTTCCACTACTGTAAAACGATGGCACATGGTACAGGCGCGTGATGAATCAATTTGGCATCTCAACAGGCCGTAACACGGCTAATGGGTCTATTTTGCATCCTCTTATGATGGGGGGTGTGATTTTATGACTAAAACTACAGTTGAATGCAATAAACAAACAAATTTTTTGCGGGCCCCGCCCCCCAATAGCGCCCCCTTTTGGCCATGTCACGGGGGGCCGCTATATAGGGACCCCCACTGTATAGGGACTTGCAAGCGTGCCAGGAGCACCTTGAACATCACTCCAAACTGTTTCTGTCCAAACAGTCAAACCGTTCCCCTGCAATACCCAACACCTTCCAAACAAAGTCGAACAAAGTATGTGCCTATTTTTACACACAATACCCTACTGGTAACTCGTCGTCCAGATCTCCACAAACAACTGGGAACCAAAACCATGTTTTCCACATCCCAGACTTTTCCATGCAAGCTCAGAACACAGTCGTCATGCAATGTCCATAACCTGTATTCACTTCTCTTTTCCAGTGGCCTACTATCTTCTTCCCAGCAGCAACTTGTACTTGTTCGATTTCTTTAGTAATGTATGCAATATAGTCATTCATCTGTTGATTACAGCTATCCCAATGGGAACTGTCGCTGCACACTTCTTAGGTGATATCGAGTGCCAATTACTTGCAACCCAATTTGCAGATGTGGATGTGCATGGTGCCCTGCATCGCTAGTGGCTGCACAGGGGTATTTCTGCTCACACGATGACAACTGCAGTTGATGCAGATGCATGCTTACAGATTGCGCCCAACTGTCAATCGCTCTCCTCACTTGTCAATTTTCTTGTTGATCTCATGATTTGTCAATTGGTATATTTCTTGAGCACGGGTCGCACTGGGTTCACAAAGACAAAGGGGCCAGGCGTGCGCTACTTGAAACATATAGGCATATCCGTATCTGTCCACCCGCTGCCTGAAGACTACTGTTCTGTTTGATGCAATGCCCAGCCAAATACACAGAGCAGCAGCTGACTACACGTTGCTCCATGCGAAATGTAACATCGATTCAGCCCAACTCCCCTTACCTGCGTCGTCATCCGTGCCCTGATCCTTGCACAGCTCAGCGACTGACGTCAGGAACCTCCAGACACCAAGGCACATGGTCTCCACCTCACAATCCCCCAGCACCTCCCTTGCACGATCGCAGGTCAGTGTGTGGTAGGCGTAGTGCCACAGAAGCTCCATGAAGTCTTCTGCGCTGCTGATGGCTCTCAAAAGCTCGTCCTGTAAAACAGCCGAAAGAAGCTCACCAAATGTGGCATGACATAACCCACCCACGTGCGTCCTCAGCTTTATGGCATATGCTTAGTACTGTAGTTGTCTCACTGAAATCACAGCCAGTTTAGGTGTTGCTGTGCAGCTGGTGACACAATCAGGTCTTCATATCTGCATGTCATCCCTGCATGTTCTCTGTCATCCCCAGGGACATCGTAATTTTCCAATTCGTGCCACATAGCATGCATCTGATTGGACAACTTTGATTCTCACAGTGTGCTCATTGAGCCACATTCGTGTTGTCAAGCATTTCTTGTAAAGATTCGAAGGTCAGGTGCATTTGTGTGCCCCCCTGTCTTATCGTACTGATCTGATGGGTTAGGTTTCTTTGCTCAAGTTTCTCTTTCAAAGGCAAAATGGGCTCCTTGAACCGGGCAAGCAACGTGACGGACACTTGCACCCCCGAACTGTAACTTTGTTTCCCCATCATCTTTCTCCATTTGATGGCCGATTTGAAGAAGATATTCATGTCTGTTGGCCAAACACTCGCATGAACTTGAAACAGGTTTTGGCCAGCTAAGCAGGCCCGCTGTGTGGCCCAGAGAGTCAGCTTGCACAAGACACTAGACTCTGTCCTCTAACCCCACAGAAATAAGGTTCCCTCCAGAGGAGTCCAACAATCTTCTTGAAAGTATCTCAAACACTCAGAGGACAACAATGTTGCAGCTTTACTGTGGCTTTACCTAATCTGTGAAATTCCACATTCTACACATATTTTCCTGCTGTACCGCAAATCGCCAACAAATTATCAAAATGACCATAGATAGTGGCAAGATGGCCAATAATGTGCAACTTACACTCCTGGCAGGGGCAAGCTACTCCCTAACAAAACAGGAAGGCTCCGTGGGTCCACACCTGTGCATGCTTGTCTGCCACGCGCTCTGAAAGGGCCGTGAACAAAGACAGGATGAGGTAGAAGAGCTGAAGCAGGGTGATGGGCCAGTCCCCATTCCTCGCCAAAGCCCCTTTCAAAATCATAGAACACAGCTCCACCAGAGGTTGTGTGAGGGTGTCCAGGAGCTGCTGCGCAAGGATGGGCGACGGAGATGACCACACGTAGTCCACAATAAGCCTCAGCCTCTCATACAGACCCCTCTGAACTGTGACGTCTGTCAAATCAACACAGCCCCTCACACACACCGATTCGGCATAGTCATGATGTTGACAATAGTTTGTAGTCTAATGTCTCGGAGGCTATCTAGCGTTTACTGCAAAAGGGCTCAAGTTGCTCTATAGCATGGATTGCAACAAAGCAAACCTTGCAGGTGGCATGTTCAGTACTCTCTTAGTGCAGCGGCAATTAGTGTACAGCGATGCACCATTACCTCCCTTTTTCTCTTGCAACCCCTGCGCAGAGAATTCTGCGCTGCATGTCATGGCTCCACACAGCAATGAACACAGCCTCAAAAGATGCCAGCCGAGAAGCGCAGACGAGAAGCAGGGAAGGGGGCCCAAACAGACAGACTACAAAACAAAACAACCTGCTCACCCAGTGTCCGCATCTCCACCAGCTCCAGAATCTCTGGCACGATGTACCCCACCAACAGATCCTGCTCCGCAGGCTCGTCCATCTCTGTCTTGGCCCGTGGCAGGAACAGCCTGAACCCCTGTTCGTCCCCGAAGGACACACCGCGGGGCGCCCCACATGCGTACTCATGCACGCAGGCGATCGCCAAGTCGTAGGTCCTCACACTCTGCTGCCACTTGAAGGAGTACTTGGAGGGCCCCAGGAGCAGCAGGTGCTTGACGAGCGTGCACTTGAAGTCGTCACTGGCGGGCTCAGCTTCGGGGACCTCCAGGGGGGACAGGGCCAGGAGGATCTCCAGGACGGAGGAGTGCAGGTGCAAGAGGTTCTGGTCAGTGGACATGTGAGGCTGGACACCCCAGATGCGCTCCATGAGGGAGTACTGGCCCTCGTTGGGGAGAAGATGTGGGGGAAGGGGACCCGGGGGCGGTGAGCCTGTGCACAGAACAAGTCACTGAGCTATGGGTGCTCGCCGCTTGTGCTATGGGCGCTGAGCCAAAACCACCACAAAGGCCCGAAAGTGTTGCTGATAAATTAGCCCCTGTCACACAGCTCCTGCCTTGTGAAACAGTGTAGAATAGCTGAAATCAGCGCATGGATAGCGTGAACCTCTCTAAAACAGAGCCAAATTGTGTGATATTGCCTGACACACTTCGTTGTAACAGCATGTGCTGCAATTTGTTGTAGTAGCCGTCACGTTTTTCGGCCTGTTGCACACCTTGTGAAGACAATTGGAGGGGGTGAGCAGCAGGGAGTGTTCTGCGACATTTTCAAGGCCTCCTAAATGACATGAACTCGTGCGCTTTCTGGGTGGTTTGTTTTCATGCATAATGGATGGGCTGTTGAAAGTCCTGATTCGTCCAGTATATACTCCCATTCATTTGTATTCAATTCAAGTCGCATTTGTGTGCGAGCAACACGCCATTGTTTGTGATATTCTTGTGACAACATTGGTCAACACTGACACAACACACCTGGGTGTCCGCACGGCGATCAAGTACAAGATGTGTGCACGCAATGTATTATCCCAAACGGGACAAAGACAAACAAAATGCTCACCAGAGGGGTCCAAGAAGGGAAAGCGTTGGTAACATGGATGAATGCAACAGGGCATGACAAGGTCAGGCAACAACTGAGCAATGGCCATTTTGGTACATGGATATGTGCCGTTTGCAGCACTGGGTGACATGTGTATTGTCAATCGCTGCACACTTGGCCCTCCATTCAGGCATCCATCATGCTTCTATTTCCTGCAAGCCATGTGCTGAAGATACAAGCATGAAAACACCCTACAACAAAATGTACATATCATCACACACATGCACACAGCATTCTTACATGTGTGAGAAACATGAGAACAACAGCACAAAGGATGCCCCAAAATGGCTGCACCACAAGAATTACCTTGTTCTACTGCTACAAATGAGTTTGAGACCACAAACTAGGCAACAGAACTTGAAATGCTGCACCAGATTTTGGTTCACCTGCCAAGCCACCTGTTGCTGTCGTTCTGGCGCTGTACCTCCCTGACCTAGTTGTTATCATCCCATTGGGGTTGCTGGCCTTACGAGAGATCATCAGCACACAATAGCGCTGCAATTCGGTCAGCAACACGTTAGGCATGTTCAGGTCCATTGCCGCCTGCAGCAGCAGATGCAATGGAAACCAAGGTTAGTGGACAGACGGCCTGACACCATTGAAGGCAAAGCAGCACCGTAAAGGCTTCCAGGCAAAAGCGGTCGTTGGTACAATGCAATGCGCTGAAGCCTAAAGACTGTATTGCGGCAACAAGGAAACATGTCATGATTCTGCACCGTGTGGAGAAGAGTCACTATCAACTTGCTCAGCAGGCATGTTCAGGTATGCTGAGCAACTTGCTCAGCAAGCATGTTGACTGTGGCAAATTGAACTCCCATAAGTGCCTCATACAGAAGCATGTAGTCAACTCTTGTGTTATATTCATATCTTTCAAGGTATCAAACAGAACAATTTTCCATGCAGAGTCCAGAGACAGCCGGAGACGTCCCCTTTTCCCACTCCAACAATTCAGCCCAGGGGCGGCTCCGAACGGATTGGAAATGATAGCAGCTGATTGTTCTGTGATCCATGAGTCCCAAACCACAAATGAAAGCTGGTTTCCTTGCAGCTTGCAGCACTTTCATGCCAGCATTCAGCTCTTGGGTGCAACAGGTAACATGGTGTGCCTTCAAAGAGCTCACCACGACCAGCTACTGCTGCCTTTTGTCAATTCCTATGTGCAGGGTTACTGTCATGAAGTGAAACACCAAATGTAGCCAGTTGGGAGTTCAACAGGAGCATTGAAAAGGACTCAGTCACACCTGTTTTACTTCGGGTCTGTGCAGCACAGCAGCCAGTATCCTGTACACACCGATGTGTGTCAGACCCTCACCACTGATCGCCAGCACCACAGCCTTGATGAATTCTGACGAAGCGGTGGAACCACCCACCTTTAAGAGCCTCAGCAGTGCCTGTCGAGTGCATTCAAATTGAACCAATAAACACATATGCAATGAACAAGCAAACAAGACACAAAAGGAAATCGCAAATTTGCCAATGTACCAATCTGTGTTTGATCAGCAATACATTTCATCAGAACTCCTGGCTGCATGTGACCATTGCCGTAAACAAAGCATAATCCACCGCCCAATCAACCAGCACGTGATGTTGACTGCTGTTGGCAAACACAGGCGTTGGCCCCTGACAGAGCTTTCACTCCTGTTCCCCACCTGCAGGGCTCGGCTGTAGATGCGCTCATCTGAGGCGCGCTGATAGTCTGCCATCTGGTACACCAAGGGCTTCAGCACGCCGTGGTCCAGCCACACAGTCGTGGGCACCAGGCTGAGGGCCGCACAACACAGGATTGATAAGAACTCTGTAACCAGTTTGGGACACAAAGGAGTAGATATGCGCACTGGTCTGTGCCATCCTAGGACATTCTATTCGTCATCGTCTGACAAACTCTCACCTTTTGCAGAGAAAGAAGATAGGCCCTACAGTTCAGCGAAAACATGCCACAGGAAATAAGCTTGCTTATTGCATTGTCGGGCATGCACTAGGCACATTCATTCACCTTTCCATGTGCTCCCCTTGTGAACAAAATCATGTGTGGGACTTACTTTCCTGCTGTGAAAGAGGCTGCATAAGTCTCCAAGATCCACAACAACAGCACATTGCACAGATAGCCATACACCAGCCCACCAGCATGGGGATGAGGTTCTGCGAATGTGCATCAAACGGCACAGAGCCAGCGACACATGGACTAATGGCAGTGGGCTTCGTCGCCCAGCGCTGTGGCTCACAATGCCAGGAGAACTCTTTTGCTATGCGGCCATAGGTACACGCTCTGCCCAGCATCGTCTGCACAGCACGGTTCACTAAATATCTACACATGTAGCAGTTGCTCCTTGCAGATGTAAAAATGGCCGTACTTGCTCTCTGTGTCCCCTTCAATAGGGAAGGATCCCCCCTTCATGGTTGCCAGCATCTTGCTGAGGCCCTCCAGGTTGCGTTCCAGACCTTCAGAAGGTAGCAGCTGCTCAAGGATGTTCCCGACATGGGGGTGACGCTGCGGGGGCAGGTCCACCTGCAGCATACAATGATTGTATTACAATCCTTGACTACTGTGTGTCTTTACTACTCACATATCACACCATATTGCCATCGCATACCTATCATTCCTACCATTGTTACATCACTTCTGTCCGTTATTTCTTGTTCCCCATATATCATACAACCATATCAATGCATTACAGCACAAAAGTATCATTGCCCCATTGCTGGTAATTGACACAACACAACTAACATTATAATAATATTAATATAATTAATTATATTATATAATTATATAAGATAATTAATAATAAACCATAAATAAAATTTGCCAAAATCCATGAACCCTAACCTCACCTGCCAGACTGCAGAGACAACCAATTATCAACACAATTCAAAATCCCTCCATTGAGTTTTCATCGCTATTTCGTTTCTGCCTTTCTTTTGCAAGTGTTCTTTTCGTTTTTCCCACCTGCAGCTGGGTTACTGACTTCCACAGCAGGCCTTCCCCGATGGGCTTGTCAAAAGACTTGTTGCGGATCTTCTTCATCAAGCCTATGGCCTGACTGAGGTCCTCCACCACCTGGCGGCGCTCCTGTGTCCTGCAAGACCAGCCATATATATATGTGAGCACAGCTCTGCTTTTCTTCTGATTCGCTCATGCATGGAATTATCCATCCATTTGATTGTTACTTTACTTGTTTATGCATGCAAGCGCAAATTCATGCAAGTACCCAGCCATGCACTTAGTACCTTTATCATCAATCAACTAGTAAATTAACATCTGGTGTGTAGCTGTGAGCTGCTATTCCTTGCTTTCACCAGGCAAGATACCAATCGCACAGCCGCCTATGAGAATGCAGCCGATGCAGTATTCCTATCATTTTTCTCCCTGCACCACACTCATTTCAGCAAGTGCCAATGCTTCATAACACCATCATTCCCAGTTCTTTGCGGCAAGGGATAAATCCACTGCTGTGCACAGGGACGGGGCGAGGGCTGAGACTGGGTGTCCTGGGCCACAGAACTCAATGTACAAAGGCACAGTAAAATATTGAGACAAGTGTTCACATATCCATATTCCAGGGTCACCTTTCACCTGGCAGACGCATCAATCGTTGATTAAATTAGCAATACCATATTCGCCCAGTAATAGCAGGCGTGTATTGGCCCCCCCCCAGTGAGTGGTGGATACTAATAGTGGGTCATGTATACTAACGCGCTTTGGGGCCCGGATCCCACGGAGTAGACAAAGAAAATTTTTGACAAATAGGCCATGAAATGCCCAGAAAGGGGCAAAAATGACAATGCTTTTACTAAATGTTGTCAGCCTCGTCACGCGAGCTGGCGGCCTTGACTTAGGGCCGCACTGCGTGGGGGCGACTGGCAAGTGGGGCCAACAGGGGTTCGCTGAAACGTTCGAGAAGCGTTAGCTACTAAAGTGCAAAAACCGAGGACCGACATGGGTCTCGACTCGCCGGGGCGCCACGTTGCGACGATGGGCTTGACACGCAGCGTTTTCCTAATCTGATGGTGCCTGGGATGGCTGATGGGACTTGTGATCGGGTTTGTGGCCTGGTTGCCAGCGCTACGTGCGAATTGGGAATGGGCCCGGCCTTTGCAGCGTTTTGCGGGTAGCTTTGCGATGCGGGGTCTCACAACGGCGGCCGCCCCGACCAGCGCCATCGCCTGCCCATTCCTGGCACTGGGCCTTGGGGCACCCTTGGAATGCACCAAGCCAGAACCTGCTCGGGCCGGCCAGGAAGCAGGTTGACTCAATCCAGAAACTAGGGCGGCTTTGATTTCTTGACCGCTTCTTTGATCGGGCCCCGCGGCGTCGGTCGCTGCCCTGCGATCCTGTGCTGAGAGCGCCAATGGCGGTCAGTCGACCATGCGGCCGTTTGTAGGCCCCCTTCCAAATCCTCCCTCGACATCATCCACCCTGGGCCGATCGTCCCCGTCGATGTGCGAGTCGCAGGGAACGCAGTTTGGTCCAGACTGGGCAACGTGGTCCACAACCAGCCGCCGACTTCCTTTTCCATTCGCTTCTTTGCCCGTTTCCGTTTATGTTTAGGGGTGGGTGCTAACACTGGTTCATGGATACTAAAGTGGTTTCGACCCCAAAGGGGAGTGCATACTAATAGGGTGTGCCTATAATACCGGGTAAATATGGTAATTGATTGTTGATCACAAATCTCGATTATAGATTAAATACTAATCCATGATTACTGTTCAATCATCAGTAATCGTGCACTGTCTGGCGGAGTTCTTCTCCCACTTCTTTGCTTTACAATCGTGCAAGGCAAAGCAGGGTACCTTGCTCAGCAGGAGAGTTGGCCCATGCAGTGAATGTTGTTTCATGATATGCGAATACACACCCATGAAGTGCAGAACACTGCACTCGTAAAGGGGATCGCCGTCAAAGCTGTGGCCCCATGAAGAGGTTTATTACGCATGGACATGGGCACTACAGTCTCTTGAGCAGGTACTCGATGTCAGCTGAGCATGGATGCTAACAGCAGCAGTGGTGATTCTGTTGCGTTTGTGCGCGTTTGCTGGACATAACTCGAGTGCATGGAAGCCCACCATCACCAGGTCTGCTTTCCCAACGTGAAATCTGTTGCTGGGCCAATAATAGCAAACTGAGGATCTGCAGACCTTGAAGGATGGCGGGCTGTTCATCGACAATGGTTGGGTGATTTTGCCTACATAATATCAGCTCCACAACCCCTGAGAGCCAAACTGCCACGCTTCGAACTGAGCAATCAATTGGACATCAGCACGCTTTGGGTACTTCCATCACCTTCACTTTCTTGCTGGGTGGCATAGAGTTTGCACAAGGCCTGCTGGTAGGACGAGGGGGCATCTGGCCTTGTGACTGTGATGTAACATTCTGAAATAAGGAAGTAACAACTTGCACAGATGCGCTCAATTCGCATTCTCACCTCAACCCGCCTTTCACATTCCACACGAACTCGAGAGTGCCCTCGTTAACATCAGGTGTGACATTGGCAACTTGCAGCTTCTTTTGGGCACCAGGCTCATAGCAAAAGATACAGACGCCCTGCAGGCACGCAGCAAAGCACAGTAAATAAAAATGAAGACAACGGTCCACGCCATCACTGTTGCCTGCCCTGAACAAAGCGATCGCAGGCCCGTCCACAGACGAAGGTGGTGTTGAAGCCTGTACGGGCAGTACTGGAATCGGGCAACAAAGAGCACATGTTGGCTTGGAGGTTGAAATTGCTGAGTATAGCACAACATTTAAGATTTCATGGCCAACTGCTGTGGATACCATAATCTGCTTCCTCTGTTTGGCATTAATATCCCCTATTGTCTGGGATGCCGAATTGGTGTCAGGAACTTGCCATTTTCTTGAAAATTGAGTCAGTGCATTATTTAAATGCCTTCAATATCTCCAGGATCGGGACTGATCAAGTTAGGAGCATCAATGGGAGTTATGGACAGATTCCACTAACCTGCTTGTCCCATTTTAGGGCCACCGGGTGGAAAGACAGGATGTCGTCGATGGAAGGTCCTGGGCAGAAGTTGGCAAAAAAGGAAATGAGAAAGGAAGCCAAAACGAACATGAACGTGTTAAAAACAGTGCATGGCAGCAAACACGCTATTTTGAATCTTCCGCCAGCATGTCTTTGCCTGCAAGGGTTACAGTTGCTCACCTTTGGCTTCAGTTGTTTCCAAAAAAAGTAGAAAATGAGAAGGAAAAACCAGAACAAGTGAACGATCAAGAAGCAGTGCATGGCAGTCAAAAGAGCACATGAAACCTCCATTCACACACCCTTGTCTTCAATCGTTGCCTCATGCCAGTTCACTTCCTGCACCAGCTGCCTCACCATCGGCAGCAGTTCAGAGCAGATTCTTCGCAACTTCTTGTACTCTCGAAGTCCAAGAGACACTATCCATATCACATTGTCCTGTTACATCAGGAAAGGCAAACAGAAGGTCGACACAGGGGTCTCCAAGACACAAATCTTAACAGTGGCATCTAGCAATTGGCCAATTGAGCACTCTGCTTTGTCCAAATTCCAACGTAGTGTTCCGATTGTTACTCCAGGGACATCAACGTCTTGCCTTGCATAATCAGCCCTGTGTTGCATTATTGTGTCACAAACTCATAACCAGCATTACCAGTGTCTAGCAAGTAAAACGAAATCTCAGAAGATGAGAAAAAAAGATCAGCAAACAAAACCTTGCGGCTTGACTCCATCAAAGTTGGTTGGGCTCATGCAAGCCTGGGCAGCATCCTTCAACCACCAGACAATCGTTTCCACAACCATCTGTGTCAGTGTACCTGATTTTTGGCAGTAGACTTCCACTTATCTGTTGACAGAGTGATGCGCTGGCTGCACCACTCTTTCCCACACCTGCGGTGCACACAAGGCTGTGGTCAACCCCATGACCTGTGGTCAGCCACAGGCACATGATCGCAGATGGGCGTCTTGATCAACTCATCCCCTTGCAAACCTCCATGGGTCACACTTTATGTCCAACTATGGACAGATGGGCGCCTCTCCATAAGCCATTAAATCGCAGGATCATTGGCACCACATCACCATATTCAGGCTTGCCCCTTCACAAGGTGACTGGTCCCCCAGCCCCCATAGGCGTGCATGTTCGACGCTATTTGCACAGCTTGCCAGCGCGCTTTTTTGTCCCACTTGTAGATGTGTGCATCATCTTGTACACTGTGAAAAAAACTCACACTATCTTGCCCAAGAGTAGAAGCATGCACTATGTGGCAGATAATTTTCATCTGCCCATTATGCCACGTCTATGTCAGCATAGAAGACTCCACCTCCAGGCACAATCAATACCGGAAACACCAACTGTAGCACTTTCCAGCACACGCCTTGAACTACCCAGTCTCACATCCGATGCCTTCACGGGTCATCACGGGTGTTCCAACATTGGCAAGGCGATCCAAAATGACAAGGATGAATGGCAAGGATGATTGGGTACAAGGGTATACAATCCTGCAAGTGGAAAAATGTGCGACTGGCTGCGTTGCTTAGGCATTTTATCAGTATTTCAAATGGCTGAACAGGTGTTGAAAGTTCTAGGCAACAAGCACTCCATGGTATTCAAGGCCAGTTAAGCAGATGGACATGGTTATCAACAGATTCAACAGTGGAGTGAGACAAGGGATTTTCCGATGGTGACAACTCCTTTCAGAGAAATGGAGACGTCATGCACTGGTTGCACCCTCCTCAGTGGAGTGAGACAAGGGATTTTCCGATGGTGACAACTCCTTTCAGAGAAATGGAGACGTCATGCACTGGTTGCACCCTCCTCAGTGCAAGAATCTGAGACTCTGGCTTCTTTCAATTACCACTTGGAAGACACGGTCCAGGATTGGCCAAAAATTGAACAGAATATTAGCCCATCAGCAACCCTCAATTTTAAGTTGCGCGCAAATCACACTGCTCACAGAGATTTCCGCATCACATTTCGCGGCATGACAGTGGACCTCTCTCCACACTAGTTTTTCGGACGTGCGGTTGCCCAGTGTTGGACTTGTGCCCTTTCAATCAAAGCACAACCCACGGTGGTACTCACTTGTAGGAGAAAAGAAACCTGCCCCGGGTGGGCTGATCTTCGACCCAAATGCGGCATGGCCTCCTGGATTCCTGGGACATCACGGGCAATGATTCGTCACCAAGCACTCTTGCACTCGTCACCGCGCTCTCGCGCCCGGCGGGTTCCTCTGCGCCGAACAGTGAAGGGCAATCGACATATCGGTACTGGCGGGTCACGCAGCGCGACCCGCCCCACGCTTTCCAAAACGATTCGCGACCAATGGGTGGGACGAATGCCAGGTCAGGGCGCGCCGCACACACGCCCTGCGCACACGCCCCGCGAGATCGACCGCGCCATATTCCCAAACCGGAGACTGCGACGGCGCCGGAGCCAAGCAGCGCCCGGGCAATCAACATCCGGCCGGCTCCTTCGAGAGCCGCAAGCGTCGCCTGCCCACGCGAAACGCCACATATGCCCGCAAAATCGCCGCCACGGGCCATGCCACCACGCCCCATCAATTCCTCGCCCGCCAGCGAAGCGAATCGCCGCCCGATTCATCCCCTCAATTCCTCGGAAGCACTCCGAGCGGAAAATTTTTTCCCTTTCATTTCTCCTTCTTTCCACCCGTGCGCGCATGGTCCCGACCCTGGTGCGTTCCGGCTCGGCCCCGCCCGTCCCCCAGGAGTGACTGCGCCGCGACGTCCGCATCGCTGACTGCTGCACGTCGGGCGGGATGCCATCCGCTCCCCCGTCCCTCGCGGCCCGCGGACCCTCCGAGGCGCGCCCGACCGCGGGCCGGCACCGCCGATCGCGGGAAGAACCCCGAGGCCTGAACTCGCGGGGGAGCACTGCTGGGCGGGATCAGAGGCCCGCACGGGGTTCGCGATCGTTTTCACGGCACAGGGCATTGCCGCAGGACCGCCAGAAAAATAAGACATGGGGCGGGGTTGTCAATCACAGGGAAGAAAGGTGGCGCGGGGGCGTGGCCGCCAGCCCCCGGAAAGCGGCAACCCCCGTGCAAAACCCTGGCGTTCGCGGAGGCGGAGGAGGATCCCGATCGCGCGCGGCGGCCCCCGGTAACGGCACTCCCGGAGGTACCCCGGGCGACATCGCCGATCGTGTCGGGGGGCGCGGCGCGGGATTCTGAACGCGGCCGTGCATGGAACCACCGGCGCGGACCGCCACAAATTCCCGGACCCGCCTGTGGCGGTGGCGGCTGGGGGGCCCCAGCGGCATCGCGGGGACCCAGTCGCCTCCCGGGACCGCTTCATTGCTCCCCGTGCTCCACGCCCATCCCCCAATCCCCACGCGTCCAGCCCAGGACGAGGCGGCGCCCGCCAGAAAATAGAACCTAAAAAAAGGGCCCTCTCCGGTGGCTTCCATCCCCCAATAACCATCCGCCCCGCCCCCCCCGGGCCCCCCGCCGATCCTCTCCCCAAAATGCGCACAGAGAACCAGACGCCAATTTTCACAAGTCCCTTCTCTCGAGAGCTAGCATAGTGCCCACCTGGAGGTGCGCGTGCGACGGGAACACGGGAAGAAGCATCTCCGTGGCCCCAAGGGTGCGCCGGCCGAAGGCCAGCCACGATCCGCTCAGGCACACCCGCGCGAACTTCATCGTGGCGGCCCCCGGCGCGAACGGCCTGCCGCGGGCGCTGGTCCGGCCCGCCCGGAGCCGAGGGCCGCTGGGCGGCGCTGGATGGATCCGGGCGCGGGGTTGCTTGGGAAAGACGCGGGCGTCGGGCGGTCGTTGCGGCCCCAAATGTTCCCGTCACGAGTGTGGGCCCGCGTGATGTGCATAGTCATTCCGTTCAGTGCGTTTCAGTCCCTTTCCGCCCCTTTCCGTCCAGTTCAGTCCCGTTTCAATGGAGCCGACACCGGGGAGGGATCTGGGATCCTATTGGCCGCCGGCCGACCCCGCCGGCCCGGGGCGGGCCCGGCGTGCGAGGCCGCGTGGCTCGCCCTTCACGTGGGGGTGCATGGGAAGGGGAAGGGGGGCTTTCTGTCGGCGTCGGTAGGCTGGCGCCACGGCGGACACCGCGTCAGAAGTGTTGCCGCGGACTTGGCGGTGCTTTACGGCACCCCTCGCCACGAGACACCGTGAACGCACTCTAGCCGGAGACCGACTGCCACTGTGGCGCGGTGCCGCGCGGAGCACAGGAGGGGTCCGCGGCCCCGCTGTGTGTGCCATGGCGCGGCAAATTCCAGGGTTGTTCCCAGGTCGGGCTGGTCACACGTTTGGGTTGGTTTGAGGAATTAGCTCTTTCGGGTTTTAGCTGTCCCGGAACTTACGCATATGAATGCCCATTCAAGCATAACGCGTTATGGGCGGGAGTGGACTCAGGCGACGGACCTGTGCGTCGAAGATACGGTTGCCCACAGGAGGAGGTTCGGTCCGACGTGGGCACCGTAAAAGGGGTATTCTCTTTTGATTGCTTGGGTTTGAATTGGATTGATTGGGTACTTTCGATTGGCTTGAATGCACGTGTTGGGGTCGTCCCATCACCTGGCATAAGGGAACATGCTGCATGCGGCTGATGCTTGTTTATTGGTACTTACACGTAAAAGGATCAGATGTTGGGGATAGAAAGAGGAAAGGAAAGAGAAACGAAAGATATTGAACTCCCAGTTGCACAATCTTTCCACGCACGTACTAAGAACTGGGAGAAATTCGGCCCATTTCCTGGGGTCCCTTAGGCACTCGCGCTGTTCAGATGCTGCATGTACGCAGGGGCATCTTGCTTCCACAAATGCATCTCGGTTTGCGGTGCTCAGGATCAGATGCCACGAGAGAACACCACAGAGCCCTCTTGCCACCATGCTGCTCCTGGGTCACCCTGCAACGGGGCACACTCGCAGTCGCCAACCGATGGCGCCCATGACCAGCCAGCTCCATTGTCACTGCGCTCAAGAACAATAATAAAATAGTCCAGAGGGACAGGGGGCAAAACCTTACACTGGACACCCTCTGCCGCACCTCCATGCCCACACTTCATGAACGCACCTGCAGCAGCAGCGCGCTGCTCTTGCGTCGCGCAGCCCTCTCGCAAGGCTGCAGTCATCCAACCTCCACCATTCACTGCACGCCCGTTTCGAACAGCGAACGCCGCAGCTCGAACTCAGTCCGTTCTACAGAACCCTGTCATTGGCATCAACCCTGCTGTGCTCGGCCCTTCCCCTGCCTCAGTCGTTCTGTTATGCGATGGCACGCTGCTGGTCCATTCAATGAGAGTCCAACCCACGCCACAAGCAACGTCTCGACCCCGAAGTAGCTGATGTGGCACCGGTGGGTTCGGCCAAGATACGAAGCGCCCCTGGGCCCGAACGCCACGCACCCACAAGACACCTACAGCACCGGCCGCCCCAGCCATGTGGGTGGCTAGTTCCACGCCCAAACAAAAGAGCGGAGCAGCTCTGTATGGACAGACACACAGGCATTGCATTCCTGCTGGGCACGTCCTTTCCCATGCCATGCCTCGGTCATCCATCTTATTTGGCAAACCTGCCAGTGCCTAGGCAGCCAGGTGCAACACGGACCCTGCTGCAAAGGCGTTCGAGCCGCTCCCCCCCCTCCTAAACCTCTGCTACATGCGCGCTAGCACACCACACACACCATGCCCACTTGCCGATCCCTGCCCAGCTCGCATCCGTCCCCCCAGCCCACCCCCGCTGAGCCATGCCCATTCTAATCCCCCAATGATGCCAAAATCCCATCGCCATATCCATGCGTCTTGCCCACAACCATCTGCCATCAAGCATCCGCGTTCTTCAAGATCTACCCCCGTGTCCACCACCGGGCCTGGCCGCTGAGCCACCCCCTTCTGGCACACTTAACATTTTCTCACCCACATATGTTACAGGGGCGTGCCTTGGGGGTGTGTCGACAGCAAAAAGACATCGCACACTGATCGAGCGTCAACCTGTCTGGACTGCACACCTGTCGACCTCGAGCTGCTGAGGGCACCAACTGCCATCATATTTAACCAACTGGCACACCATAAAACTGAATGATGGCTCCTTTAGCTGCAGAATCACCGATTGTCCTGGCTCGTGACCATGTTCATCTCCCTCCCAAGCTCCTTGTGCAGTTGGTTCAGCCTCCTGAGGATCGTCCTGAAATCTGGACGGCTGCAAGCAAACACAAACAAGCACGTGTGACTCCAGCAGCTTGTTGAGGCATGGGTACATGCAGTCAATGACAGTGCCAAATGGACATGAAGCACAGGCCATGGCACACTCGACTCGATTCGGAGAAACCCGATCCGATGTGGTGCCCTGGGAGCATATCGAGGTGGCAGTGGACCCACATAGGGAAGCGCTCAATGTTCAATCCGATATGAAAACAGAGAAGGAAGCCACACAGACACTACCACAGTGAAGCAACGATTCTTGTCGAGAGGTGCCCACTCACAGCTGACAGCAATGGCAACTACAGGCAATAAATATTTCCAGAGCAGGTGGCTGACTTGGACCAGTGGCCAGAATTTGGACACAACAACAGAATGGCACAATGACAAAGCAGCAAGGCAGAAAACAGAGGGGAAGCTGCAAGCAAGGGAAAAGCGGCAAAGGAAAGTTGCACAACAGAACTGACAATGGGGTGGGAAGGCCAATTTGCCACCACTTCCAGCAAAGCCTCAAAACATACTTTAGCAGAAAGCAACTCGCTAGATTGCAATCTTATGCACAACTTGCTGCAGCAAAGGTGGGCATGCCATGTGTTTGCAGCTCAACAGCCATATAGAGACATCGTCAGATGCAAACAGACCACAACAACTTGAGGCAATTTGTCCTACAATTCCCCACTCCCCTTCCAACAGGCTAAAAACTCACTTGTCGGGGTCAATGGACGTGCACTGTCCAATAAGCTCCGACAGTGACCGGATGACCTTCTTGTTGTATTCCATATCATCTCTCGGGATCGGCAGTGGTGGCAACTTCATTTCTTCTGGGTTGGTCACCCAACGGGTCACGATTTCGTAGAACTGCAGGGATCCATGAGCTCGTTCACGCATCATAACCTCCCATAGAGTCACCCCATAGGAATACACCTGTGTAGTCACAAACAATGTTGAACAAGGAACAAGGAGCAATGATCTTCAAGACATCCCAAAACGAACTGGCAACAACGGGTGTGTATTTGTGTGGGTGTTCATGATGCCAGCACTGACTTTCTGTGCCTCATGCTTCCATGACCTCAAGATGAACTAAGAACCCAAGATGAACTAAGAAATGCGTGATAATGTTCTGGCCCAACACTCACATCGATTTTCAGGGCTTGCTCTGTTTTGAATTCCTTGCTCTGCAGCCTCTCATCAAGGACTTCGGGGGCGGTGTAGGTCGGTGTTCCGATGACGCCGGGTGTCAGCTGCCTAGTAAGTTCACTGTGGGAAGCAGTTGGTGAACTCTCTTCGTCCAAGGGCAACACGGGGCGGCTCATGCCAAAGTCGCCAATCTTCATCACAAGCCCATGGCTGACAAAGATGTTGGCTGCTCAGCAAACACATCATCGGTCAGAATGGAGTATAGAGTATATTGGAGTATGGAGTATTGGCATTGGAGTATGGAGTACAGAGCATATAGAGTATATTGGTGCTCCGCTGTTGATCACTATCAACATGACTTACAGTCCGAGCAGAGTGCAGAAATGGGTGCATCGCAAACATGGCCAGCAAATCAGTCTGCTGTGGACCCGTTTCTGCAGGAGATATGGTTAACAGCAGAAATGAGATGCAGCATAACTTGCATTTACTTCCATCTGTTCCCACACACATTTCACCTTCTGGGGTATGCAATAGACATGCATTTGTTGCGTCTCGCTGTCAGACAGCTGAGGACATGCGTATATTGGGGTATGGAACACAAGGCCTCACATGCCGCAGCATGAATATTGGATTAAAAGCGAACTTCATGGACACAACTTCGTATGTACGGGTGCAGAGTTCTTCTGCCAGAATGAACGGCAAGAATAGTTTCTTATTGTGTGATCCGCGCTCCACCGAAGTACACAGGTGGTGCAAATCATTGTATCCCAGCAGGCGATTAACAAGATAGGGTTTGCCTCTGGCTCAGGCAAAGGCCATTAGAAATGCTTGGAGAGTGAGGGCACCAGCATTCTCAAGTTGTGCTTTCTGTAACAGCCCTTGGCCCTTCAAATACAACAATTGTTTGTGTTTCCATGTAAATGCCATAATGACTCTCCAACCGCGACACTTGTTTCGCATTGGACAAAGCACGTAAGAACAAAAGTAATATTTGGCACCGAACAACACCTTGGCAATTCTTTGTTGCGCAGCAAAATGCACTTCATCACCTTTGCAGGAGAATGGGAAAAGCTCTGTCACATTGGAAACACATTAAACACACAGGGACTGGACAGTGCTGCCAGCTGGTATACACGTTGGGAGCCTGCTTGTGGACCATCAGAATGAAAGGGACACACACTGCTGCATCCACAGTATATCTACATATGTACATCACAGCTCCACGACATCGGGGCAACAAACGAAATAAACAACAGGAACAACAAGCAAACCAAAGAACAGCTTCACAAATAGATATGCTGCTGGTGAATAAGTACACAGATACAACACAAAAGAGCAAAGAAAGTTGGGAAAGAAAACACAGTTGCACAGTCACAACCTGAGGAACAACAGCAACATTGAGACACTCTCTCACCCGGCTTGATGTCTCTGTGAAGGATGGGAGGTCGGCGCGTGTGCAGGTGGAACATGCCTCGCGCTATGCCTTTCACTATCTGCAGCACCTTGCGGAGGTCCCACCGGGCAGACATCGTCTGGTGCACCATAACGTCGAGGGTGCCCCGCGGGCAGTACTCCAGCACGATGTACATGTCGGAGCCCTTCTTGCACAGTCCCCGCCACCCCACAACGTTGTCATGCTGACCCACGCTCAAGAACATCTCAACCTGAAGAAAACACAAACACAGCAATATACTCCTGTGATAAACAATAACACAAGTAATAAACAGTCAACCCTTGATAAGGGGTGGGCGGGGTGGAGGGCACCGCAAAGACCGACTGGGTTTCTAGTCTGCACCCACATCTTTGTGACGCAGACGATCACAGGGTTTGAAAGCATGAACTGCCACACATCGACTGGCATACGCAAGCCGATACTGTACTACACTAGATAGTAGTATGGTAACATAGTAGTGTATATACTGCAGGGCACCCTGGTGGCCACAAGGAACAAATCTAACAAACCATCCTCTGGTAGCAACCACATCGACGTGTCCAATGCTGAAACCACAGATGACGATCACGCTGGCTCAGCCAGCTACATGGAGCAAGAAAATGTCTCCGTCTCCAAGGAAGGGTGTCCGCCATTCCCAACCCAGATCTCAACTACAAGTGTGCCCCTCCTCGCCCAGCCCCCCGTAACAGCCACTCCCAGAGTGTCCACGAGGGAGCTATTCAGAACAAGCACAGGAACAACTGGCGCAACCCTCGGCTGCAATGCTGCTTCTTGTGGCTGCTGTTGCCAAGCATGGCTGAGAGTCGCACTACTGCAAAGCTTCGTTCTTGTCGGTCACACAAACTAACTGCAACAAATGTCCAAGCTCCAATGCTACTTCAGTCTGTCAGCAGCCCTTCAGGTTCCTTTTGATATCTTGGAAATAACAAATGTGAACGGAGCAAAAACAATGCCGTGTGCAAAAGTGCTGTAATATAGAAAATATGGCCTGGCAGGCCGGTGAAGCTCTCCCCCACATTCTGAGCCCCCAAACATCCCATCAGCAGCAAGTGGTGCAACTTTCCTCCAAAGGTTTGACAACTATGGCTCCGCAAGTGGCACAGGCCGTCGATGCGAGGCAAAAGTGTTGAGCACTTCACTGCCCAGGCCAGTCACACAGGATAGCATGGGATATTCGTCCTAAACGTCCATCATCTTGTAATCTCCAGTTCAGCCACTGCTGTCCACCTTATTTCGTCTCCAAATCCCTGCCCTCCACAATATAGTTCGGAATCAGATATATGAATCCCTGCCATCCACACCATGGATGCATACTGTGGCCTTGGATGTTCCCAGGGAGAACCAGTCAATCAGCCACCGACTATCGCCTGGCACAACTGAAGATTTCAACGTCCCTTACTTCACCAATACAAGCTCCAAGGTGACCTTTCCCACCTCACCCTCCACTGTGAGGACTGACAGAACTGTCCAAATGGCTCGACAGCAGCACTGACTCCACCCTGCCAGATACAGATAAGTGTAATGGGGATTTCACTGGCCAGGTCAGCCACAGGGAGTGAAGGACATGTTCGTCCTGCAGGCTGGGCCAACACCACCACAAATCCATTTTGTAACCACAACACACAGAGACGAGTCTGAAAAGGAGCGCAAAGACAGCAGACAACATCTGCCTGATCTGTGTATGCAGTGCTCTCTCAATCAATCCAGGGCAAAAAGAAAAGGCAAAAACACCACATCCCCAAGAACAACACAGACAGCACACAGGGCCAGGCGCACTTCACATATCACTCCGGCAACACTCCTTGCAGACACGAACGCCCACATAAGACCCCCACAACACCTTGCCCACTGCTTGCTTCCAATCACATATTGCAACACTTGCCCAAAGCCAGCAGTACCTCGTTGCCCAGCCCTTGATCATTTCTCAACCACCCCATACCACTTCTCTGTTTCTTGGCTCAATCCCTCCTTCAACCCTCCCCTTCTCATCAACTTCCCTTGGCCCTCTCTGCACTTGCTTCCCATCCCCCAAACTCTAAAATCTCCGACCAATTGTCACGATGGATTCAGCGATGCCTGTTGGCCCCGTGGAAAGACTGCTCAAATCCACACCAAACATGCAGCAATAGGCCGGTATTGTGGCACTCTTCTTCCAAAGCCTGGTGACCTCCTCTGTGCCAGGATGGCAAAGTACAACTCTGTGGGCTAGCTGCAAGTGACGCACCCCCACTTGCATTCGTCCAGGGTCACAATTGCGCAATACAATGGCACGTATGCGCCCATCAGCCACAAAGTCCAGGGTGCTTCTCTTGGTGTCCCCACAACACCAAGCCAGCTGCACGCTGGCCTCAAAGGATGATTTCTATCACATCGGCAAGCACTTCCCTGCTTTGCACCCCCAATCCACACATACCACCTAGACTGCATTGTTGACTGATGACTACATACACCTGTGAACTTGGCACCAGAACCACAACAGCTGCCTGGCAGGCAAACGCCCAGCATGCCAAGCATATGCACTGTACTTTATGCACAAGTGCTCCCCAACTTAAACCAACAATGCTGTCATTCTCCTCTTTACAGGTTGCCATTGCACAGAGTCAAGAGCACATACTACTCCCTAACTTGTTCTTGTGACATCCCTGTCTCTCAGTTATTTGGCTTGGGGCACACTAACTACTAGGACACAGAAGGGCAAACTTGATGCCCCAAAGTTGATGGCTCCATCTCCACCATTTGTTCTATTGACTGTCCAAGAGAAGAGTGCTGTCAAGATGTGGTCAACACAGACTAAAGCTCGACTCATCCAGCTCCATGGTCCTTGCTTCCCAAACGAGCACACACATATCAATGTAACTGCAACCCACCCTAGCTTGAGTCTATCTGACATGCAACAAAACAAGTGAATCCTGGACCAAAATGCACAGTGTCTGAATACGCCTATCTTTCGGATCGTGCACCCTGCGATCAGTATATGACTGTCCTGTGTGCACAAAACTACAGATACATATACATCTGCAGCAACACTGTAACACGAGAAGTGAAATCGAGGCAGGCACTGTATTTCTTACAGGACGTTCATTCAGCTCATCGTCAGTGGCCTGAAGCTGCAAATTAGCCCTCAACTACAAGTACAGATCCTCGCCACCACGTTTCCTTGCAAAAATGCAGCTGCCAACTCTTGCTGCTAGCTAACAACTGACAATATCATATCTTGTGGTATTGACATGCAGTTGTGCGAATGCTTATCGAAGCTGCACCCCAGAAACGATGGGCACCTTGCATGGGAACGACACTTGTATCACCAAAACATCCATGCTGCTTTTCGCATGGCCAAAACTGGCAGTAAGCTCACCTCATGCATCGAGTCAGTTTTCTTGACTGCCACAGGCGTTTCAAGGTACCAACCAGCCCAAACTTGCCCTTCTGCTCCCGCTCCAAGAAATTTGCCAAACTCTAGATCGTTGAAATCTATCATCTCCACATGCATCTGGATCAGGGGACAGCCAGTTCAGTTGCATGGTGGCAGGTTCTTCATGAAAATAATCTGCCACTTTTCGAAATTTATGTCATTCATTTTATGCGCATTATGTCATGCATCACAATTTGTAGCAAAGATGGTGACAAGGCAGCTGGCAGTAGCAGGTGAAGCACGTGCACTGAGAGGCATGGACAGTAAAAAAAGGGGTTGAGCAGGCCAGCAGAAAAATGGAAGAGACAAATATGCTGCAAAGCACCAGGCTTGCAAGCTCCACTGATTGTGGCACGCATGACAGGGGAAATGTAATATGATAGCAAATCTATGTAAGAGTAAAAGAATGAAACGTAATATACTTCCTCCGTCCCATATTAATTGTCGTCTATTTGAGAGAGAAATCTAGTCATGAAAACTGCATCCAAATTACAAATGGAGGTTAGAATCGGAAAGATTGGGTCTCAAAACCCTTAAGTTCGAATTTTCAAGAAAAAAATATTTAGTTCTCAGGCCTATGAGCTGGCCCCCAAAATTGCCTTGACACAATCCAAAAAATGCGTGTTCAATTTGCGCGGTCTTGCAGGCCACCCTAGTTTGGGGGCGCTCCCGTGCCTAGGGGTTGCAACGCCAATGGTTGCCACCTTTGGGGCAAAGGATAGGGTCCGGCACATGGCATAGCACTTGCCAAACACATTCAAACATGACTTTATCCTTGTCTCAAGCAGCCATCGTCACAGTGTTGACGATACCAGAAATCGCCGGTTTTCTCGATCTCCGATGGGCGGACCTCCAACGAGCGGAAAGGCCAATGTAAACAACCTTGAAGCCTAGGATCAGAGTGTTCTATCGCTCCAAGGCTGTTTGGTAGCCTTGCTTGGATATTTCGCCTTAGTTGATGCTTGAATCGGGACTTGCATGGGCCCCTAAGCTAGAAGCCCCAAAATTGCCATTGTTTGTGGATACAATGCCAAATGCTTGTGCGCGGTACACAATCCATTGCAACCTAGCAAGACTCCATCACTCTAGAAGACCCAAATTCACCTTTGTGGCCATCCCCCTTGCACCCAATCCTCTAAAGTTCCGAAACAAGGACATGTCGCCATTCCCGTGGCAATTGCCAGTTCACTAATTGTTCGTGCCATATCGAGGTGATAGCCATTACCATCTCCGGCTCCTAGTTAAAAGGATTGGGAGACCTCCCTCACTTGCTTTGACAGTGGGAAAAGAGCTCGAAAAGCCTTGACCAAAAAAATTTGCGTCCGAAACGTCACTCCGATCCCCCAGATCAAGCCTAAATTAATGGTGCGAGCCACGGCGAGTTCGACGATCAATGCATTCGAAACACGTTTTCTATCACCATACCTCTTTGCAAGCACCCTAATGACCTACACTCTGAACAACATGAATAGTTTTGCAAGGACGAGTTTGTTTCGCTGCCGTGAAGGAGTGCTCCTCAAAACAGCCAAAAACAACTGTTTTCGGCGCAACGTCCAGAAACTACCCTTTTCTGGCTAGAGGACCCATGCTACAAAGTACTGCCAAATCCTCAAAACTTAATGGATCGACTTGAAATTTTCATGGTACACTCCAACCTCCCAAAAACAACTTTAGGGAAACTTTCATTACAAAATAATGCAGGCACGATAGAGAAACAACGTTTCAAAATCATAGACGACAATTAATATGGGACGGAGGAAGTAGATAATAAATCATTCGGATCACAGACAAGTGTACATATCCGTTTAAGAGATATAATCCTAGATTAGATCTATGAAAGAATAAGCATGAAATGTAACAAAATACTCAACCATTTACATCACAGACAAGTGCATTTGTTTCAGAAAACTGATCCTCGATTAGATCCAGATTATCTGTCACATTTTGGCGACTAGATCAGAGCACTGCCAAAGAACCACATTTCAGAGCCCTGCACACAAAAGGGATATAGATCCTTATGCACACACCTGCAGTCCAAGATGGTTCACGATGTTGAGTGGAGACACCGGTGCTGGACGACCTTCATCAACCACTTGCGAGGTGGTGGCCACTAAGAAAAACAGCATCAATAGTAGCAGTTCAACAAGTAGATTTCGTTTTCAATTCAGCCACCGTACCCCGCAATCGGCATCAAAATATGCATGGATAACGTGTACTACCAAATCATCATTTCATCAGGCATCAAAATGCCAGGATTGAAACAGCACAGCTGATGTATACCTGCTGAATTCGTTTTGAGTAATTTTCTGATAGACATAGATACATGCGATCATAAACAAGTGTGCAGTGTGCTTGCAGCCCAGTTTTGGCCAAGTAGTCCATTTTGTGCAGGAACAGCCTGTCTGTCTGCAATCCATAACCATAAATTATGAGCCCCTGCAACAACCTAAACTGGGAACACCCCAACAACACCCTGTGGATGCGCATTAAAAACTGTGCTGACAATATGCACAGAAGGGCTCCCCAAAAAGTCTTATTTTTCCATGAGAAATAATGCAGGGTAAGTAGGAACAATAATATCATGACATTAATGACATTAGAAACGGCAAAAAAAAACATACACCAAGTGATCCAGGGCAACATGGGCAGTTGCCTTTCCAAGAATAGGACGCGTTCATGAACACACACACACAGCTTCAACATCAATCGCCACATCGTGCTTCATGGCTTCAAATTGCTGCAAATTCACCATCTCATACATATATTGATCATCATACACATCACTTTAGTACGTCATCATCATTCATCGAATACGATGCATGGCTGCTCTCACTAGGAAAAAGGGCCAATAACACATGCTCAAAGGTGTACAAAGTGTATGGGTTTGGGTTATTTCCGTGTTTTGAGCATGCAGAACTCTGCTGAAATGCATATACATGTGTTCGTAAAAAGTGTTATTTGGTCCTTATTCTGCTAGTGTCTTGTTCCAGTTAAATTAGACAGCATCAGAAAAAGCAGGGCGCGCAGTGGTGCATGGCAGGCAACTCACCAACAGGTAGTGGTCTCCTTGGCCCAGGGCCGTGTTTGGGAGAAACAGCATCCTCATCACTCCGCACTGAGTCCTCATGCACCAAGTGGGTGCTCTCCTCCCTATCTATCCCGGTTGGAGACTTAGGCTCATCCACGCCCTGTGCCACAAACCAACAGAATAAGGTGGGCTCCTTGCACCTATCCCTGGACAAAACTAAACAAAAGACACAATATACAGTGGAACAATAAGAAAACCCAGGGGAACATGGGTGTGGGCTGCCCGAGCAAGGTGGGGGACTGCCCTGTGGGACTGTTTCTGTTGCCCTTTCTAGCAGCTCGATTTTGAGCGCAGCAGGTACAAACGATTGTACCCTGACAGGGTGCTCGGATAAAGACGCACTGATCCTGACACACAACTCTAATGGACGTATTTCTTGCCTACAGCTTCAAAATGGACAGCGTCAAACCACCAGCATTCTATGGAGGCCACACAAAGCACGTCTAAAAAGCCACCTGAAATCAAGATTTCAACAGTTACAGTGGGGCGAACTTGCAGGTATGAGTGGCATGGGGGCTACATGTCAAGTCAGAAGAGGCCACAGACTGTCTTAAATACACATGATTTGTGGTAGGCATTGCTTCAAATGAAATAATGCTCTGGACCCTCCACTTTGCAGCGAACAATGCCTCCCACTGTGAAGATCCACTGCTCACTCTCACTGACATGGACAAAGAACAGCCAGGCACACGCAAGGTGGCCAAGGACAGAATAAACCAAAGCATAATTTGACTGCCTACAGAACACCTCATGCACATCTTGTGATAGCCCAGGAAAGCAAGTGTTGAAAGGCAGGAATCAATTTTCCTGCAGGACAGTAGCATGTCATGTACGATTTCCACACCTTTCAAGCGCGATGGGCATGACCTGTACCCATTTTCCTGCTGTGAAATACGATGCAGAAGTGTCTGAGCCATTTGAGAGCAGCATTTGCGTAACGGCTTTCACACAATGGGCAAGAATCACAACCAGATGTTGTTGTAATTGTGTCTGTACATCACTGGCGGTTAGCACTGCGCATAAACACTGCATCAGGCAACCCTTTCTACCCAACAATCTGCTCTTTGTGACCCAAAAAACATGGCTGGCAGGTGATGACTGTTCTCCCTGAGTACAATTAAGTAAATATGGTGAACAACAATCCAGTAGCAATAATGAACTGAACAGCAAGATCAATGCACGCACCACATCCATCACGGCGGCCATGTTCATAGGTGGTATCTTCTGGACTCCAGACTTTTGGCTGTCCAAAAACTTTGAAGCTGACCAATCACCGCTCTGCAGGGCAAAATGAAACAATCTGAGATACCATTAGAGCAACCACTCAAGCCATCAAGCAGTAAGCTGGGATAGACGAATGCTGTCAGTGAGGTTCATTGCCTTGTGAAGGTGGAACGTCCCATCGAATTCCTACACAAACAGTTGTAAAGAATTCACCTGTCCCAATATGCATACCACAAACTGACCGCAAGCCAACCAAGCAAGGGCAGGTTCGAAAACAGCTGAGCCAACATGTTTTTGAGCAGCATGTTTTTGAGCTGCATGTCTGTGTGCAGCAACATATACTCTAAAAATAAACCTGAGGACAGATCATATAATAGAGTATCCCCACCTAACAACAGGCCCTACGCTTGTCTGCAGTACCCAGGTACCAACAACAAGAAGGAAATCGAAAGCAAGATGCAAGCACCAAAGCAAAAAAAATATACGCTGGGGCTGTCCACAAGAACAAATGTGTCATTGTTCATGTGAGTGTGTGTAATTCCTGTTACAAAGTCAGAAAAGCAGGACCACCTCAAGCAGCAAAAACAAGTACCATCACTCTCCTACCTTGCAGCAATGTAGTGGTGGCCGTATTAGGGGGGCATAAACAGCAGGGGAGAGAGTGTTCAGTGTTCACTGTGAGAATGAGGAGAGCCCTGAGTTCATGTGAGTGTATGTGTGTGTACATCCCACAGAAGAGGAACACTGCATGTCATTAGATTGTGGACATGGCTTGGAATTGACTCTCACAAGAAGAGCATCTTGGACACGGCTCCAGGGGATTGAATACTCTGAAGCATTCAATTGATACATATGCAAGAACATTATATAGGGAGGCACACATCAGTTCCAAAATTCTTAGACTTTGATAGGGAAGTGCCAATCGGGCAGCGTTGGCAGCACGCACACTCATCTGCTTGGCCATGTGTGCCGCGATGTCATCGTGGGACTTCGTGGCCAGATTGGGTGGCATCTGATCGCCACCAGCCCTCCGGTTGTGCACAGCAATGCCAATCCCCTTCAGAAATTTCTGAAGCACCGCATCTGTCCATGAGATCACACATGGCTTAGGCAGCAATTCTCTGAAAATACCTTTGAGCAGTCCATCGAACTGGAAGCACACACCCACACGTGGACATTCGTCATCAGGAGCTGAAGATGGTCCATGGGTTCATATTGCTGGGAAATGGTGATCGCCATGATGGTAATCAGCAGGACTCTGCACTTCAACTGATACACATCGAAAGTTGCTTGTTTGGCCACTTGCACCCTTCCCACCCACTTGGTTGGTCAGCAAAATTCTTGCGCCCGCCAGAGTCCCTCAGTTGGGGCACCCCATGGATCCCCTCATCAGGTGACATGAGCATCGACACCACAAGGGTCAGCCCTCGTTTCCAAACCTGGTACTCGGCCCTGCTCTGCAATCGCATGGGAAAGACAGGCAACAAGTCAATGGGGCTAATGCATCCAAGAAGCACCAAAATGGAAGCAAAGAAGCTTGCTGGGTACAGCTAAGTTCAGTCAAGTCCTGATTAATGGCCCAAATCCAGTACAGGAGATTCTGGCAACAGTCTGCAGGGACCCCAATGCGAGTTGCTTACAAGTGGTGTTCACAATTCCTGTACAACACAAGAGAGCCACATACAGAAACAGAGAATCAAAGAACAAATTGCCAGGGCCACACACTTATTTTGCATTCCCTTCATGGCCCATTCTGTTCCCACACCTGCAGCCTGCACATTGCCCCCCAATTATCACTTCCTCGATTTGACAAGTTTTCAAGTAAATTACAGTTGCAAGCACTACTGCATTCAACGATGCTTGAACGCCCCACAGTGCATGACACACCATAACACTGTAACACAGCGCCACGAACATGTTACCACTGGCTGTGTTCAAGTGCCAAGGTCACGGCAACAAATCCAGGAATTTCTGCATTCAGTGCAGTCTGTCGTGGTGACAACCTGCAGCCAGGCGCACCTTGAATTTGAGCACCAGCTCAGGCTCCATGGCAAACAGGAGGGTCAAGGACAGTGACTCATCATCCTGGTTCACTGAGTCGACGTGGTACAACAGCACATAGTTGTTCCACGCCCACCGCAGTGTTGTGTAGTCCTGCGACAGCTGGAAGAAGCGCCTCTTCATTGGAGAGTTGAACGTTGGCTTGGTCTGGGGAAGCAGAAAAACACAAACTTGCTGGAGACCATTGCTTGTGCTCCTGAAGGGCGTCCAATGCTGTCTAGTGAGTGAAAGGGCATCAAGTTGCCCTCTCTTGACATGTGACTGAGTGCTTTTAGAATTGCTTGATTGTCTATGCATCATCATGGTGACCTCAATGTACTCACAAGGAGTTGTAACTGGTTGCCAGCAAGGCACACAGCCTGCAACTCCAGCAACAAAACACTGTTGCTGGAGATTCACATCCCAGCCACAACGTTTATCAAGCTGGATAAATTTTCATGTGTCGCAAAAGCATTGCCCAGGCAAGGGCATGGAATGGCACGTTGGGCCTGCGCATCACCCACATGTGCATATAGCTGACGTCCCTGGCTGCCATACATTGGACAATGACACAATGAAACTTGCCAAGCAGTTACTCAACAATAATATACTGTGTGCCAAAAACAGGCCCACAGCAGAAACAACACTTTTGTGCATCTTGCACTCAAGCCCGTGCACAAAAACTTTTCTGTGCGAACTTTTGGCTCCATTAAGTTTTCCGCCCACGAGCCTTTCGACTGCTATCCTGAGACACCTTGGGCGCTTGGTGCCCTGTTGCTTGTGGCTTTGCACAGTGGCAACTATGAAGTGCGGCACCTTTTGCTGGGTAGCAAATGCTGCAAAGGAGCCCTGGGCTCCCCACCAACTACTCTGCAGCACCCCGAGCTGCCGCTCTTGGCCTCCATATGTTCTTGGTTAATAGCCCCAATTTTGCGCGACACACGTTTTTGCATGGAGTAATTCTTTGTAGGGAAGAAGCGTTAGCCGAGGAAATATTCATGCAGTGTTAAGTGCACCAAAATATTTACGTGCGAACACTTTTTCCATAAAATACACAAACATTTTTCTGCGCAGAAATTTTCTGGTATACAGTACACAGATGCTGCACTACAACATCGGAATGCAATGTGTCCCACACACACAGCCCCCAACAGATACAGTTCTCCATCCATTGTCAATTTTCCATCACATTTCTTCCATTCATTTGTTTTGAGGCAGACAGTGCAGGCCAGGCTCAGGGGATTACAGATACAGACTATTTGCAGAGTGGAGATTTGCCATCAAGACAGAGATGCAATTCCATCCAATGTTTGGCCTATTTGAATTCCGCACAACATCAGTGAAACACAACTCTAAAATCATGTGTGATGAAATGATTCAGAACAGGTAACAACTCACAATCCATGAGCCTTTCAGCAGCGGCAGGAGGTCTGGGTTGATGCTGGTCACACCCCGGTGGTCCTCACCCCGATTGGGATCTGATTTGGGGCTCTTCTGCGCCTGGGCCATAAGCCGTCGCATGTACCACCACACCTGCAGGCAGAAATCAAACAAGACATGCAAGTTTCTCAGCACTGTGCTCACCCCATCCTTTAAATGATCAAAGAATACACACAAACTTCGCCCTAGAGCAGCAGTGCCAACGACATATTGAGCTGCTTTCCCTCACAGGTGCCTCGAATCACTTCACTGTGCGCACACACCACAATGGCAATCACGCTGAAGGCTGGTAGGGTGAAACTGGGTGAAACCAGGTTGTATGTGTCAAACATCATTGCACCACGGCATGCACCGATAGCATGCAACACTCTGTTGAAGCCTGCAGAGTCGATGGGCATCGGGCCCATAACTATTCATCTACAGAGTCAACGGATTTAATACAAGCATTCAATAAACCAGTACAGACATTCACATCATCTTCAAGCACACTCAGTGCATTCTTTTCAAACATCAATATCTGCCACACCCCTTCCTGATTCCTCAGTTGGCGCATTCCCCATTGTCCTGAATTCAGCACAAGCTGACTAGCATGCAGCTCTTCTGCACCACAGCTGCCATTATCGCTTCGTTGGCTTCAGATGTTTGACATTGTGACGATCGGAACTTGAATATTCGGACTGTGTACTTGACAGATGTCAACAGCACTTGCCACAATCCAGAAAGGTGCAGAAATGGAAGCAATAAAGGGATGCAAATTGCCAAGCCTGGTGTGGCTGCATGTTGTGTACATAAAGATAACTACCCAAGCAGACGTACAGAGCCATGATTCAACCCTATGACCCAAGGGCGCTCCCTTGTCACTTTGTGATCAACATTGCCAAAGCAGTTCTACAAGACTTACCGCCAGTCGTGTGATGAGGAAGAAGGATACAGACAATAGCAGCGATTCTTTAGCCACTCGAGCGTCCCTCTGGTTGTCGCCATACACTGGTGACAGGTCAACACATAACAAACTCAAGAGCATTCTCTGTACATGGCAACAAACCTTCTCTTCTACAGAGATGAGGGCAAGACTAGTTCGATAACTGGCCCTGTGGGATACAACACAACAATTGTGGAAGAGATGCCAAAAACTCACAGTGCCAGCCCACTCTTCTCTTTCCTGCCAATTCCTTTCTCATTCTTCGTATATCTCATTTTTCTTTCTCAGAGTGACTTTGACCTCCTGAGATGCGCTTGTGCTGTTCTCAATACATCATCCCTGGATTCCATCTTTTTCGTTGGGACATTGAAGGAGAGGGATACTCAGAGCACAAAGGCGGCAAACAAGTCAACGCAGATAATGCCAAGAATAACACACACCTGTGAAACTGAACTGGTTACCCTTACTATTCAACATCGGTATTTACACAATGTCTGTTACTCAACACAACAAAAATTAGGCTAAATATCCATGCTTGCTTCAAAATAGTATTTACAAACACATTTATGGCTGATATTGTACAAATTAAACATTGTCTTGTACTGCAGCAAGGCCAAGTGACTAACTATCTGTTCAGTTCACATCAAAGCCGTGAAATAGAAAAGTTCACTTCCACTTGTTGAGCTCCTAGCATACTGCTTGCAGCCCCCCACCCCACCCACCAATTTGAAGCAACATGTTCGAATCAAAGAAAAACTCAAGAAATAGAGTTGTGCACATCGTTGCAGTGGAAGGTGTGAGGGATGTGCTGTGTCACATACTAGCCAAATGTCATCTCAAGGTTCCACCCCCCAATCTTTCACCTCAACACACAGCCTCACACCCCCAAACCACCCAACAACTCACCAAAGATTATGGACAAAACGGGAAACAGAAAGTTGAGCCACAGCGTGTAGCTCAGCCACTTGCAGGGCTTCATGTCCTCTTGTCTAACAGTCTGGATTGCCAGCACAAGCCAGATGGTAGACACTATGGTGCCAATAACAACAGAGCCCAGGACGCCCAGGTTCCAGAAACCATCCCTGTTGACCTCGTCTTTGTTTTCTTCCAGTGCCATCACCACACCGGTGACAAACATCAGAATGAGGAACTGCAGCGCCACACGTTTGAGCCAAGTCGGAAACCCACACACATGCCAACATGTTTTTGACAGAAAATACACGTGTCCTTCCTCGCCCCGTTCTCTTTCTTACTGGGTACAAACTCAAGGCGACCTGCTCAGTAACTGCCAAACGCAGCCAAGCACAAGGGCCTTCAGAGTCGATGAAAAGCACAACCTCTCCCACAAATGCTCCTGCAGATCTTCACACACCACTGCCCAGTGCGCATCCCATATGATCTTTAGTGGCCAGCTACATTTGGACACAACTGATCCTGGGCGTTGACACAATGGGGCGATGGTCTGACAGGACGCTCTTCCGCAGAATGAACACTAGCTGAAGGTACAAACTTCAGAATGGTACACTCTTGCTGCACACTCAATGATGGAGGGAGAGGACAAACTGTGGAGGCCTACGCAGTTGTCTATGAGCTGCAGCACTTCAAGCAATTTAAAGTGGTGGATGCATTTTCCCAGCCAGAACGAGAACAGCATACACAACAAGGGCGTGTTTCCCAGGTCTCCAGTCTAGAAGCTAAGAACATGGAAACAGTGTGGGCGTCGAGCTTGCAGCCCTAGCTGGGGCTTGGCTTGAACTACCTGAATATAAACAAGCACCCTCACAGACTCTGTTAGTACCTACGTCTACACACTAACTCTGAACTGGTCTGACTGCCAGCCTCCACACTGCTTTGCACTGCAGTCAGCATGGAGCACATGGGTGAATATTCAGTGCCTACTTCACCGCTAGTGCACCTTGGTTGGAGATAGTTTGGAACCAAGTTGGCACCTTGGCCGGCCGTTGCAGGGCCACAGGGTGAACACAGACACTTGTCCAAAGAATGCAGGAGAGTATGTAAGCCTTCCAACTTCTGCCTTCGAAGAGTGCGGCAGGGTGAATTGAGTGCGGGCCCCCTGAAACCAACTTGCCCAATTGGCATGGTAAAGCTATGTGCGTCCTGACACTAGAAGAGGGTGACACCATCCCATGCCTGCTTCCCACAACCCAGCAGCCGCGAGACGCTGTAACCCCAAACTCCCGAGCCCATGAAACCCTGTCGACCCTGATTGTACCCAGCGCTTCTTCCCCTGGACTCCTGCTACAGGCCATCTAGCCAAGCGCGTTGGGTGGCATGCAAAATCAAGAGCCGCAAAACCTCCATTCAAGCCATTCATCGCCTGGACGGCGCTCCCCTTTGCCCCGTGAACGCAAACGCAGCTCAGCACATTCAGCGCCCCTGCGCGTGCCTCAGCCAACCACGCCTCACCATTATGTCAAGCTTCACGAGGGTCTTGTATCTGTGCAGCATGAAGTACAGGCGCCTCTTCTCCTGCGCGTCCTTCAGCCGCAGGTCGCAGGCCACCCGGCTGTACACGCGCCAGCCGAACTTGCGATACGACAGGTACGCCAGCATCAGCGTGACCAGCTCGAAGAAGATGGACAGCGTGATGCCCGACACCTGGGTCAGATTGCTCGTGTCCTGCGAGAACTGCGAGAGCGCCGCGAGCACAGGCGCCCACAATCAGCCGCTCCCATTCAATTTGCCTCCCACCCCCCTTTTCCTCCCCGGCGTCGGCCGTGTGTCGGCGAAAAGCCCAGCCGATCAGCATTCTCTATGATTGGGGAATCCAGCCATTTCTAGAATGCATCTCAGCGCGCGTGCGCTCGGCCGCCGCCCCCGGCGCGAGGTTCTGCTCCGAGCCCCACGCAAGGCGCGCCCGGCGCGCCTCAGGCCGGCCTGGACCGCGAGGGGGTGATTCGGGCATCCGACGCAGGAAAGCGTATTATGTGGCCTGGGCGGGCAACGCGAGCTATACGGCCGGCCCGCGGCGATGCTTCCAGGGAGAGGGGGCATGGGCGCTGCACCGAAGCCGCGGCATCCGCAGCAAACGTGAGGCAAGGCGAGGCCCAAATGGCGAGTAGCGGCCCAGGAGGGCGAATCAACCGCCGCGGGTCGCACCAGATGGAACAGCACCCTCCCCGTGACCAGCAGCGATAGCAGGATGGTGGCCAGCAGCTCCAGGTCGTTCTCGTTGGCCACGGCATCCATCACCAGCACCACGAAGAAGCCGGCCGTGACCAGCAGGCCCAGCAGGATGTGGAGCAGTTCGCCGCTGCAGGTATTGTCCAGGTTGCCCATCTCGTCCGTGTCGCCCACGCAGACCTGCGGCAGCCCGGACGGGGGGGAGGGGGGGGAGGGATCAGAGGGGCCCGTGCAAGGAGGCGGGGGGCTCGCAGGCATGTCGCCGGGGAGGAGGGGTTGAAAGCACCTTGGACGGCGGGAGGCCGGTAGGCGCGGCCGCGAGCGATTGCCACGCGCGCGGGAGGGCGCCCGTCGAGCCTGGAGAACGCCGCGCCCGCTGGAGAATCAATAGCGGGGGGAAAATCAGACAGAGCGGGGGCCACTCACGTCGCGGAACTGCCAGATGGAGTAGTACACCACCATGACGGCGTCGAGGACGGACCAGACCAAGAAGAGCCGCGTGGAGACGGGCAGGCTGGACCAGAACTCCCGGCTGGTGATGCTGGATGGCAGGGACTGGATGCGGGACAGGAAGGCCGGCAGCGGCTTCTGCGCGGCGCGCTCCTTGGGCGCCGCGGTGCCGTTGCCGCCGCCTGGCCCGCCACCCGACCCGGCTGCGCCGTCCATCGCGGCGCCAGCCCCGGGCTCAGGGGGCCCCCTCACCCCCGGCCAGCCCCGTCAGATACGCCCCCTCCCGATGCGCCCGGCCTCCGGGCCTTGCCGCGGGCCGCCCAATGCCTTTCAGCGCCTTGAGGCCTCAACACCGAACAATGCGCGGCCTTGTGCATGCAATGTCGGCCTTGGGCTTCAACTCAGTTCTGTTGGCTCTGGCCCCTGCGTGTGTGCAAGCGTGTGCGGGGCGGGGTGGGGGGTGGGGTGGGTGTGAGTATACCGGCGAGGGGTGGGTGGCTGTTCTGGCCGTGCAGTCCGGCGTGGGTACCAGGAAGAGGCGGAGGGTGGGTGGAGAACAGACCCTGGGCGAGGCGGGAGGGTGTAAGGGGGTGGGGATGGCGGGAATGGGACGGCTCATTGGCTGCCACATTGCCTGCCACACGAGTGAGGAACGTGCAGGACAACTGCAGGAGGAGGGTGGTTCAGGAGCCAGAGGCGCAAAGTACTGGAAGGCGAGTGGGACCGCGGGGGTCGTGCAATTGTGTCGCGGGGGGGCACGCGGGTGGGGTGGCCGTGTTGGGCCCGAGGGAGGAAAAATGCGCCAGCCGTGGGCGCGCTGTTGTAAGCACCGTCGTTGTGCGCGTTGTCGTCACGCACAGGGACGTCCATAACTCACGTGAGGGTGAGCAGCTCCATGCGTCAATCAACATGCATGGTTTGCAACAGCCCAACACGCAGCATCCATGTGCCGGCCCACAAGCACCAGCCAACCTCGTGAAAATTTGGTAAAGGGCAAGGATCAAATGGTTCACACCTATCCAACAAGGGCACTTTCAACGCCGCCCCTTTGAGTGTGATCCCGTCTCTTGCTGGGGCCCCAAGAACCTGTAGAACGAACAGGCCGGAATCAAGCACCCCGAGCTGCACAGCCCAGCGAGCCCAGGGCGGGCTGCAGCCGAGGACCATGTGGACAACAGCCACTGCGGCGTCCACCTGCAGGGACAGACGAGCCACGGCCTGTGGCCCCATGCGTCGGGCCCACGTTTCCACCCATTTCAGAGAGACAGCCTCACACGCAAAAGTTAGCATTGCTGAGCAAGCTGGGTAAGGGAGCGGCGGCCAGTGCCACTGACCCCAATCCTGCTACAGAATGCGGGTAGGTTATTAGTACTACGCCTTGCTGTGTCCAGAAGAACAGCCTGGGGCGCAAGGAACTAGGCAGCGCCGGTGCCTTGTGGCTGGTCAATCCACGTTCCTCTAATTCCACGCACATTCGACCGGGAGCGGTTGCAATTACCCCACAGTGCCTTTGTGCACCTCTCTGAGCTCTGCGTCGCCACCGCACTGTCACCAGCGCTCCAATATTTGCCATTCGCCATCGCTTCCAACACTTCTCCCCTATTACATTGTCATCTGTGTCGCTCTTTCCTACGTTTTCTCGGGTTCTCGGGCTTCCCTTCTCCCTGCCTTTCCCCCTTTTACCCTTTTGGTGCAATCTGTGCCAGGTGGTGCAAATCCGTACACAGTCCCTCTTGACATGCCGGGAGCAAGATTCTTGGCTCAAATTCTAATCTGATGCTTCCCACCTTCTACTCTCCACACACAACACTTCAACGCATTCTGCAAGCCTGTCAGTACAATGTGTCGTTTCCAAAATTTCGTACATTGTGCCTGTTTTCACCAGTTCCAACATTTGACATGCACATGTCACCCAAATGTCAATCTTTTGGACCATCTAGAGGCAAGTCTGCGGGCGCTCCAGCAGCCTCTGCCTCGCCCAGTGCACCGTCCCCTGCCAGCTGGAGTTCCTCACCCTCACCCTCCTTGTTCCCCCGTGCAAGCTGCAAATCCTTGTGCAGCGTCCTACAAAGGTTCTCAAGGCCCTCCTTTTGTGCCTTCAGCTTGGTATGGACAAAAGGATCCACAGCAGCAGCGAGCTTCACATTGAATTTCTCCACCTGGGAACGAGAACAGAAGCTCCGTCAGTCTAGTTGCACAGTTCTTGACCCAAGGCAATGTGGGGCAGTTCAGCACTGTCATTCACAAGTACAGCCAAGGCCCCCACACTTCACCCGCGTGTGGGACCCTCTTGGCACAGCACATTTCTGCTTGCTATGGCAATCGCAGTGTACACTTCTCAGCGAAACGGACCCTGCGATTTCGCTAAAAATGTGTAACATTTCGTTTAAAACATACAAATGCATGCAGCACTAATTGCAGGTGAAAGGACCACAAATCATTCAGAAATAGGTCACCTGTTTCTTCAGATTCGTTCTCTCGTCCAGAAGTTGGATTATTGTCAGGTCAGCCTTGTTGCACTTCTTCTTCATCTCCTCGTTTTCCTTCATGAATCGTTTCCTTGCCTTTTCACTGGTGTCTAAGCTCCCCTTCAGCTTCTCCAAGGCCTACCCGACAGCAAGTCATGAACATCATACCGCCAATTCAGCCGCAGCTACAACCATAAATCAAGCACTATTCCTGTATGTACGTCGTCATGCTAAACAAACATGTTGCCATGCTAAACAATCACTAACACAGTATCACAATCGGCTATTGTGCCGATCTGCACCTGAAGTTGGGTCTCACAAATGCTGCTGCAGGGAAGCTATGTGGGGAAGCTACTTGAGAGTTGTGGATTTGAATGGATTGGATCTAAACATCTTCCTGCACACCGATGGAGACAGCAGCCACCAACAGTCACAGGCGCAGCAACTTGGAAAACACCACACACAAGGCCCCTCTGTGGCTAGGAGCGACTATGGCCAACCCAGCTACACTCACTTTGCTCATCTCCTCGAACCGATCGCAGCAGGTCACCATATTGGTGGCCAGCATGTTCTTGGCATTCTCCAGTGCGTCGCCACGCTCTTTCTCTGCCTTGGCTATGGCACCCTGCTCCTCTACCTGCAGCTTGGCTTGTTCATGCTCCGCCTCAAGCAACTGTATCTGCAGTTCTTTTGCTTGCATCTGTGCATGCAAAGGGAAATGTTATGACTTCTTGATTCTGTGCTCCATCGCTGTGTCAACCACTCTGATCACAGCTGCCGGTAGTTTGACAAGACCTGCTTTTCAAATCGAACTCAGATCTGCTGTCTGACACCCACAGCACAGAGTAGAAGTGTTGTCGACAGCATTGGAAATGTTCGATTGCCCAGGAGAACAGACCGCCACAGAAAATGATAGCTGGTGCGAAGAATAAACCATCTGAATAAAATATGCAAGCAAGTGTCTGGCCTATGTGTGCACTTGTACCTATTGTGATGCAGCACACAGGTTGGTGCAAGAACATTGCTTTACCACTTGACACCTACCATCGAAGTACATTTCGTGTGTGCATGTATGCTACATGCAGTCCATGTGGTACATCATTTGTGTATATTCATCCATTCATAACACACGTGCTCCCAAATCCACTATATTTCTTTACGCATGCTGTCATCTTGGCAAAGAGGATTGCTCACCAACTTCCAAACCACAGTGCTTGCTCCTCACCTCTTTTTGGTGCTCTTGCTTTATGGTCTCCAGTATCGATGTGAACTCATGCAACTTCTCCCTGAGTGCCACATTTTCCCGAATACTCTTCTCAGCCTGCTCGCCCTGCTGTTCCAGCTGCATGCCAACGTCCTGCAGTCAAACGGCCAACTGATCAGCCAACCAGCAGGCCAGCCCATGAGTGTGTCTGTGTCTGATGCCACAAAGTGCACACCATGTCTGCACAATCTGAGCTCTGTGCTGGCCTTCATTTTGGGTGCAATTCCACATCGTTCGCAGTATAATTTGTGCACAATATATATGCTTTAAATGTGGCATTCCTCGTGCAGCATCAGCCACTCTCTTGGCAGGATTCGTTCCTGAGCCAAAGGAAAGAACAATTGCCAGAGGTCATGGGCCACTAGGGTCCATGGGGTTGATGGATTCTCATCCTGCTCTCTTTCCATGTTTTGCAGTTCAATTGCTGGCCAGACTGGCCCATGCTGCCTTGGGGCCAATGAGAATGAGAGCACAAGCTAGGGCGCTTGGGGAACAAACCCTTGGAAGAGCTAACAATGCCTCACAGATGCAAGGGCGGTGTTTTGTAACCTTGTCATGAGTGCTGATGAAAGCCTTATGGAAAGATGCCTGTGCAACAGTTTGCTGAGCCCTGACAATTGCAATGAGCAACGAGCATGTCACCCACCTTCAGCGTGGACTGGAACCTCTCACTCAGCTGCCTCCTGCTCTCCGCTTCATGCTCCGTTCTGAGCCGGACTTCCTCAAGCACAGCCTTGTTTTCCCTCTGCAGCGTGCGGCACAACTCTTCCAATTTGTCCCTTATCAGATTGACCTTCTTCAGCTCTTGTTGGGCTGCATGGACAGGAAGTCTTGGTCAGTTCTTGTAGCAATCTGTATGGATTACAGTCTGTTCATAACAAGACGAATCATTTCCCATGCACATCGAAGGTGAAGCTTGATGGTTCACATTTCCCCTATTGTTGATTGTCAGGGTTTCGTTTTTCCTGCCCACACTGCACTGCCTGAAGTGGTGCATGTAAGCTCCCAGATCCAAGCTGAGCCGACATGGCTTGTATCACATGGATCAGGGTGCATCAGAATCGAGGCTGGATCTGGTCTGTGATAACACCATAGCTCCACACATGCTTGTTCATGTCCTTGGCCCAGTGAACAGTAAGGCAACCAGACAAGCCACCCTGAGTAGGGCACAAGATTGGCATCGGAACAGAGATGGCTGGAAGCTGAGGGCTCAAGCCTGATATGGCCCCTTGCCAATGAACACACACAATTGACTGTGGCAAGCTACCTGTGCATCGCCTCCTAAATGGTGACCATGGTTTTCATGCTTAGAGTGTTTCTGGAGTGGAAACGGAAGTCGGAAACGCACGGAAGGATTGCCCCCAGAAGTGATACCAGACACTGCTGGTTTCAAACTCAAAAACTCTTTGTTCCAATAACATCGTCTTGGAATAATCCTTTGCACTCTTCTTGGTAAACTATCTGTTAGCAGCAAAAATGTTCTTGGAACGATTCTTAGTAGCGCTATTAGGATCTTGTTCCTAGCGGCACCAGAACGGTGCCAGGATCACTTGTTCGCCACTCACACATGGACTTGCTTTTGTACACGGCCTTGTCATACACTTGGGAACAAGCAATGGGCATTGTTGTGTCACACTTCTGTCGAACAGAACTTAAGAGTAACTTCAGTAGGTGCACCTGCATCTCTTTCCCTTGATGCCCTGTCGAGTTCCTTCTGCATAGTCACATGGTCACGCTCCAAGCGACCTCGCTCGCTGACCTGTTGGCCAGCAGCAAGCTGTCAAACTTCTCTAGGGCAGGGAGCACAGCACCTGAAGCGTATTCACTTCCATCATTGGTGCCGCCCGCTAGTGTGCTGTCGTTTCTGCTACCCATTGTTGTGTGTTGCTTCCTTCACCACTCAGAGCCTTCCACTTCAGCACTGCATTGTGGAAAGGAGTGTCAGGAGTGTTCCTCACGCAGGGGATGCTCTTCACATGACACATTGTACGCTTTCTCTGATCTGAAGCATTCTTTGGTGTATGTGTCTCTCTAACCATGCTGATGCCGGTTGACAGTCAACAACAACTTGGACAGCCTTCACACAAGGTGACCTCCTACAACCGTAATGGCTGCACAGCAAAGTATGCTAGTTGCAATCCAGGACAGAGAGCAACTAGCCCCTGGAGTGTGGTGAGGTAAATGATTGTGTCGTTGAGTGGGTTTGAACCTCAACAAACTGCAAGGGCTTTGTTTGTCAGGGCCTTTCAGGAAAAGCCTACCACAAGCCACTAGGCATGGTCCAGCGGGTCGAACCTGCTCAAGGAACTTGTTGTGCATGAAGTTCAACTTCTCCTGTTGGGAAGCTTCCCGGCTGGCCATCATCTTGTGAGCCTCCCTGACCAGCTTCTTGCGCTTCTTGGCCACCTCCCGCTCCTCTGCGCCAGCCTCCTCCACTACTGCCTCCAGCTCATTTATCTTGCTCTGGAGGGACGCCAGGATCTGATTCTGCAGCCCCCGGTCGCTCTGTTGCAGCACAGATGCAGAACACAGACAGGAACTGAACCCATGTTTTGAACATGGTTAATGTGTTTTTAAAAATGGCCACAGCATTTTTCAACACGAGTTGTACTTTGTATTTACAGTCCGTGAGCAGCAATAAGCAATCAAGCTGCGCGTCGCATCAATCGCTCATCAATGTATCAGACACTACAAATTGTCCATGGGCATGCCTGCCCCCCAAATTTCTTGCAGCCCAAGAATCCTGCAATACGAGGAGAGACACACGGAACACGGGAGATGGCATTGAAGAAGGCAATCCATTCCATGTCGCAGCAGTCCTGAAAGAACAGATGGTGGGTCAGTGGGCGAGTGGTGGTGGTGAACCTGTTAAGAGGCAGCCGCCTGCAAACGCTTGCAATCGCGGCCGTCAGCAGCCGCTTCACTTCGCTTTGCGGTCTCACTTCACCAAAATTTTGGCGATGTCACGGCTTGCCATGATTCAAACTGTGTGCCGCGAGGGCAGGAACCGACGTTCCCCGCCTTTCAAACCGGATCCATGTCCTGACTCCGTCGCACGGGTGCCGCCTGAAGCTTCCCGCCGGACGATTGCGACGCGAGTGGGGTCCCCAACGCGACTCACCGGGCCCCACCCCGCCCCACCGCCCGTCCCGCAGATCCGGAACCCAAAGGCCCGCCAACCCACACTCCAGCCCCGCGGCGACATCCAAAAACAGTAAACAAAATCAACGAGACGCTTGCAGCCGGGGTCCACACACTCAGCGCCCGCGCATCCCTCCAGCCCAGCCCGCCCCCGATCGTCCCCCGGGGACACCTCCGCAGCGGGGGCATCGAGCCGCGGCGTCGCACCAGCGTCGAAGTGCTTCCGAATCCGGCGTCGGAATTCTGCAACTGTCAACTTTGGAATCGCCCCACACCCAATTGTCCAGCAACCGCGCAGCCCTGCAGCCCAGCCCGGCAGCCCCACAATCATCGCACACACGGCCATGCCGACGCCGGGTCGAACAGAGGGCCGCGTGCGCGTGGGATTCCGACCTTGGAAAAGAAGGAAAGGAGAAGCAATCCAGCTTGGGGGAAGGGGAGGGCGCGACCCACCTGCGGCTTGGATCCCGACGGGTGGGACGCCTCCTGGGGGGCCGCGCCGCCGTGGCGGTGCGAGTCGTCGGACTTGTGCCGGGCGCCGGCGGCGCCGCCGCGAGGCTCCGCGTCCGACGACATGCTGCGGGGCGTCGCGGGGGGTTGGGCCGGACGCGGACGGGAACGGGGCAAGGGGCCGTGTGGGGCCCCTTTGTGCTGAATTTTCGCTAATCTTGAAACTGCCAAGATTGTGTTTTCTTATGTTTTCTTTAATTTTTGTGCTTTTGTCTTTATGTTTATTCTTTTTCTTGTGTTTTTTTTCAAGTGTTGTATTTTGTAATTGAAATTGCCGTGCGTTCGCGCGGGAACGTTTTCGCCCAGGTTTGAGTTTCCATGAACGGCCGTGTTCTTGCTGGCCGGGACCCCTTGGAAGTTCTTTCCCGGGCTTTTCCCGAACGCGAAGCCTTCCAGAGCCCTTAACACAACTGCGAACGCAAGCGCAATCACACAAGCGCGATTCGAAGCAAAAGTCGCTCTCCAGAAACCAACCCCTCGCCCCTCGACTCCCATCGCTCTCAACAGTCCCACTCCCCCACAGAATCGACAACACTCGGTCCACCACC